ATCGGCCTGAACCATCGCGCCGCAAGTCGGGACAGCAACGAAAACTGGCACACAGGAGCATGGGTGACACGGGGAATAAGGGTGGTACTCCGCTTCCTGGTAGAGTCAGTGATTTGCTAGGACTAACCAAAAAGGAAATAATCGATCGTTTGAAGCTTGCAGAGGAAGATAAGTCAACTCTGGAGTCTCAATTGAAGAAAGCACGCAGCGATGTCCAGGCCACAAGATTTGAAAATAAGCTGTTGACTGATGTGACTCGAGACTTGAAAAGGGGAATTGATACAGTTCGAGAATCTCATACGACGGCCATGATGGAAGAACGGGCTCAGAGTGTACAGGAATCGAAACGGCGCAAATTGGCCGAAGACCGACTCGAAAAAGCAAGACAGCTGATTCCACCTGAGCTCTATGATGAGTCCATTTTCTCATAAACACTGACATGTAATGCTAATGCTCTACAAGTGCGTCTTATTTTTCACGTTTCGATGGATTCAAGATGATATGTTTTCCATGCATAGCATGGCAGTACCGGTACCAGTATTTTTTTATGCCAACGTTACTCATAAATTCTCGATCTCGTTCTGCAAACATCATTCGACTGATGCGATTCATTGAACTGCCGAACAAGATTGAGATGGTGTACTTGGATCCATGTTATAAAAATTTGTCATGGAGTAGTAAGCACTATTAGGTGATTGTATGCCCTCAAGCTTGGCCACCGGAAGTAGATCCAGAATGAGCGGTTTTTGAGCTTGTCGTGGTAGCCAACTCGATCATAGGAGTTCAACACTGAAAATACCATTTTTCAAGTGTTGTCAAAATAAGATCCAAATACACCATCAAGCTCACTTACAAATACCGAATAATGTATCCAGAAGCCAGAATCGAAAATAGGTCGTCGAAGGTACAATATTCCCTGCATCTTGGCGTCAAATTGCCTCTTCCGTAGAGCCGGTCACTTCGACAATTATTTGTACTCTTATTCGCCAAATTTAGCCACAGAGGATCCAAATACACCTTCTGGAGAGTCATCTTTTCAGTTCTCGTCTCAAATTCTTTTTGAGCAGTCTTAGTTAGTTCGGCTTGTCGATTCACACAATAGCTCCTTGGTCAACTTACTTGCACCATATACCTACCAATCCTGCTTGCCATGTGATTTTTATTAGGAATCTTGTTCGCGATTTTCCCTCTGTATGACGATGGTCGAATGGTTTTGAGAACCGTCATCTTGAACAAAGAAACTCGTCTCGAAATCGTTCTTAGTTAGTTCGGCATGTCGATTCAAACATTAGTACCCTCCTGGTCAACTTCCTTGCAAGTTGTTTGACTGAAAAAGACCCAAACACCGCGCCAGAATGAAAACAAGCCTCCTCCTTGGTACATCTCCACGGAAATCCACGTAGAATGCCACGGAAAATCACAAGAAGCCAGCCAATGATGAAATATATAAGACCATCATTATAAAATCACAGCAATATCATGGCAACCAACAAAAGGACAAGAATTCAAACAGGCCACAATGAGCCATCAGACAGACACCGCAAGAAACAATGCAATACCTTATTCCTGGTAAGTTACTTCCCTGTACTGTACTATTTGATTGTTGATTGTTGCTTTACCTTGTTTTCCAACACCCCTTTTTCTAAGGAAAACCACACAGAGACAATGCGACGGGAATTGCCGCATGCTGTTGAAGTGCAAACTGTCACCGTCGACACTGTGCTTCCCGTTATCATAGAGCGTCTCATCAGCCTGGAGCAGGCCGTTGAGCAAACCACAAAAGAGGTGAAGGAAGCGAAACTGGAAATAATTGAGTTAATTAACAATTTGAAGGAGACGATCCCGGCGATGATGCGGGAGACGATGCTCGAAGTATGGCAGTCGATATTCAGCGGAATGGCAACGACAATCGGAGATATGCGGAGTGCTGCAGCTGCTGGAGCTACCGCACCACCCCCACCACCAGCAATGCAACAACAAACTATTCCGGCGGCGGCTGCGAATCTCCTGGTGCTGACGGAACGAATTCGCACTTTCACCTTTCAATCGCAACACAACAGTCTAAAAGGTCTGTGGGACGAATGGCACGGCCTGGGAAACTACCAGGACCTGCCCATTGCTGGAGGGGTTGCCGCTTTGGAGGAGTTGCACGGCGCAAAATGGAGAAACACAAGAACAAACATACAACAACGCGTCTCAAGACAAGGCAAGATTTGTCTTGGGATTAAAAAGAAGTCTGAGGCCGAATCCAAGTCGATCGACTCGGTTTGCAACGAATGGAATCGAAAGTATGCGATGGAGCTCAACAAAAACATGAGAAGGTTCGTGGAGTTCTTGCAAGAGGAGAATTGGATTCCAGTTCCTACAAGACGCGGACGAAGATCAGATACTTAGATAGCATTGCTTACATAATTGCTTACATAATCTATTACAATACTGCATATTCTTATCTATTAGAATCCAGCATTTTAGCGAGTTTGAAGAACTTTATCATGGTGAAAAGGCAATCCTTGTGCCATTGTCGTGTGTTTTAGAGAAAACTCTTTTGAAGTTGAGACCACGAAATCGTCCCCTCTACTATAGTATCTTTGTCCTCCCCTCAATAATGTCCCTCGTATCATCGTGCGCGTATATATATCCTGGTCTTCAATTATTTTATCTGCACCGCGCGCATGCGATCTTTGCGATGGTGTCAAAAATCTACATACATAGTATAGTATCGTGTATCTTTTTTGGCACATGAATAAAAGAACAATAACACTGCCAAAGGATATATAACGATCCATTCAAGATCAAATGACTGACAAAACAGATACAAATATCTTTTCAGATTCTGCTGAGGGATCACAGGAAAATTTCTCGGATGCCGACTTGAATGACAACAATAATGATGATGATGCATCATTAAATGAGGAATCAGATGAATCTTGGGAGGGTCATTTTGAAGAACTGAAACGTCACATGAACACGCATTATCCCGACGGTGGCTTTGTTCTGTGCTGCAAATGTGAAAAGGTGCTTGGTGATTGGGTCGCAGGGCAGCGTTATCGGTACGTCATAAAAGAACTTGAGCTGGAACGGATTGCAAAGCTCGAGGTCCTTGGCTTCATGTGGGAAGACAGCAGCCTTCTTCTTGCTGAGGAATCTGAAGCGGAAGAGTCTGTTTCGTCTACAACAGCAATCGCCGGAAGACCCGAAAAACCGTATCTGGAAGTGGAACCAAAAGGCGAGAATGCTCCAGATGCCAAATCAAATGAGAAGAATGATCATTCGGATGACGAATCAAGAGAAGAGAGTGATTCCAATTCCGGAGCTGACGCCGTGACCTATACTGAATGGGATAGGCGCTTCATGGAGTTGGAGCGTCACATGAATTATGCGTACGCGGATGGTGGTTACGTTGTGGCTGCAAACTGCCCACAACCGCTGCGAAGTTGGATATTACACCAACGATATCATCATCAGGAAATGATGGCTGGAAGACCACACAATATGACAGCTGAGAATATCCGAAGACTTGAAAGGATTGGCTTTCGGTGGGAGCAGGACGAGCCCACAGAGAAAGACCAAAAAGAAAGTTTATCAAAAACAAAAGCGAAGGGGCGGACTCAATGGGATACCTACTTCGAGAAACTGAAAGGTTTCATGAAGAAACACGACATTTATAAGACTGGCGGTTTTGTCGATGCTACACGGTGCGAAAAAGGCTTCTCGAATTGGGTCATCAAGCAGCGGGACGACTGTAGACTGAAAACGCTCGGAAGAGACTCTGACATAACCGACGAGCAGGCTGAGAAGCTGGAGAGTATTGGGTTTCATTGGAGCAAGCAATGCGATCGCAATGGTTTTGAGCCGAACAGTGATGGGAGTCCAGAATGTAGAATTGCCCACAAACGAACAATTCCGCAGCCATCTGATGATGCTGCCCCAAAACGACAGAAGGTCGCATGGCAACCAAAAAGGGCTAGGAGAAAGGTTGGCGGCAAGATCTCATGGGATGAGCACTTTGAGAATCTCAAGCAAAAGATGAAGATTCACTGCCCAAATGGCGGCTATTACGCACCTCATTGGACCGACAAAAAGTTCTATGCTTGGATGGGTAATCAACGTAACCATTATTGGAAAAAAATAAATGGAGAGGAATCTCCAATGAAAGATGAACATATCGCAAAGTTCAGAAGCATTGGCTTTGTTTTCGAGGATCAGAATACCGAGAAAACCAAAAAATTGCAACAATTGGACGATGGTGACGATGATTCTGCTCTAAGCGATAGCGAAGCATCAGAATCGAGTGACGAGGAAGATCAATTTGGCGTTCATACCCACAGCAGCTTGGCAAGACGAAAATCGGCCACCGGTAGTAGCAGCCAAACGCGAAAGGTGGATCCTGCTTCGAATTCCAGAGCCCACGAGTCTCATGACAGCCAACGAATCCCATGGGAGGTGAGCTTTCAAAAGCTCGACCACTATATGAAGAAAAATTATCCCAATGGAGGTTTTGTACGATCTACAAAGTCTGACATGAGGCTTTCCCAGTGGATCAGGAATCAGCGAAAGGAATACAGCAAAGGTCGCCGGGGATATTACAGTCCTCTCAACAAGGACCGAATTCGAAAAATGGAGAGTCTTGGATTCCTTTGGTCAGTACAAGAGGAACGCAACCACAATTTACAACAGGAGGCTGCGCAAAGCAACAAGCCAAAACGTTTGCCACGAAATGGTGAAATTCCCTGGGATACACACTATGCAATGCTTGTTCGCTTCATGGAGAAAGACTATCCAAACGGTGGCTATGTAACACCCCCGCCACAGTCGGACGCCAGGTATGGCCGGTTCAGCAGATGGGTCTCTACGCAACGCACCCAATATCGCAGACGAGCTGCCTCGAAGCGTTCCAATCTCACGGACGACCGAGTGAAAAAGTTGGAGCGGCTTGGATTTCTTTGGGAGCCGGAAGAGGAACAGGGGCAGCAAACACCAAAAAACAGAAGGAACGATGTGGTGGAGACAGAGGATTCGGATCACCCGGAAGATGAGGAATTCGAATCATCATCATCGTCCAAGCATAACACTGTGCGTGGCCAAACATCCTGGGATACACACTATGAAATACTTGTGCGCTTTATGCATAAATATTATCCAAAAGGTGGATATATAAAACCCCCGCCAAAGTCGGACACCAGATATGGCAGGTTTAGTAGTTGGGTCCATGAACAACGCTCTCAATATAAGCGTTCCGGTCTCGCGGACTATCGAGTGGAGAAGATGGAGCGGCTTGGATTTTTGTGGGAACCGGAACAACCACCACCAAAGAGAAGGAACATCGAGGCGGAGTCAGAAGACTCGGATTGTCCGGGAGGAGAGGAATTCGAATCATATTCCAGGCGTCAAATGTTAGACGACTCTTCCGCCCTCTCCTCAGAAGACGAAGACGATAATGCTGATTCTGAACTTGACGATAGCAATGAAGAGGATCATGAAACTGGTCGTCATAGTCGCATTGGCTTGGCAAGGCGAACATTGACCGCTAGTACGAGCAGTAGTAGTAGTGGTAGTAGAACACGACGAGTGGACCGTCCTGGTGATCCGCTTGGCTACAGTGACGAGGAGGACGAGGAGGACGAGGATGAAGAAATTGGTCGACATAGCAGTTTGGCAGCACGAACAGGAGCTAGGACACAAAGAGTGGACCGTCCTGCTCCAAACAATTTGAGTGGTGGCTACGAGTCTCTGGACAAGAGACAACTTGTGCACCTGTTCAAGAGTCAACTAAATCACGTGGAACTACTGAGAAAGGAGACTGCAAAGTTGCAATCCGAGTTGCAACAACAGCAGCAACAACAACAAGCAATAGCAGTGGTGACGCCGACCAAGCATGATCGTAGAGAACAAGAATCCAAACGAGAATCTAAAAAGTACAAGGCCAGACTGGTGAAGCAGAAAGAAAAGAATCAGCGTTTGCAGGGAGAGATTCAAGATTTGAAACGTGATCGTCAAGAGTCGTTGCAAAAGAATGCCCGTCTACGTCATAAGCACAAAGAAAGGAAACAGTCTTTGAAGGGAACGATTCGAGATTTGAAAGATGATAACAAAAAGTTGGCAGAAAAGAATATGCATCTAACACAATGCAATGACAATCTTCGACAATCACACGTGACGGCCATGGTTGAGGAACGAACCAACCTTCAACGCGAAACCAGGAAACGAAAATTGGCTGAAAACCGCCTCGAAGAGGCCAAGAAGCGGATTCCGATGGAATGGTAGGATGCCTGTTTCCGTTAGATCATTATACACTTTTTATATAGTATAAAATACATTATTTATTGGACAATAATCTACTCTACACTGTAGTTGCACTCCATCCATCCAGCGTCATACAGTACTGTAGTGTCGCGCCATTTTTTGGAATTCCACAAAAATCAATGCCGGCACGCGTGCGAAATGTCGGACACACGCAGCTATAGTACGCAGGAATGAACCATGCAATAACGAAATTGAAAATATCGAATGAATCCATCCATCGTCCATATCGCTCCTCTGAACATTTTGAACACACTGTAAATTAGAGTAGCCATTGCCCCTTTCCTCGCTCCTAATCCGTCATTCACTCCATATAAAAACTATACAATGAAGACGACAAGAGAGTTTGTCTTTGAATCACTGGGTGAAGGAGCCTACGTGGAAGTCTCGTGCCACGATACGCTGGCGAAGGTGCGGGAGTTGATTTTGGAGGAATTGGACCCAGAACAGCTTTGCGACAACGATTTTGTCTTCAAGGTCAATGGGAGCATTCGTATCTCGACCAAGCAAGAAGGGAGCAGAAAGGCCTTTGCCTTGCTGGACGCCAAGGCCAAGGTGGAACTCGTTCCCAAAAGCATCAAGCGAAAATGTAAGGAACCGCACCTCGACGGTGATTCTTCCACAGCGTCATCATCCGTTTCAGAAGCAAAGCGAAGAAAACAAAACACCGACGCCACAGTTACACCTTTGAACCAAGATACGAAACCATTAGGAGACAAGCGCAACAATGGTGCATCATCCGATACTAGACTAGATCCTATGCAGTTGGATGAAAGGTTTTCCACATCATCATCATCGTCATCATCATCATCGTCGTCGTCCTCATCTCATGGTCATGAAACGAGATTGCAATCATTGAATACACCACAGCACCACCGACAACAAGAGGCATCCAAAAAAAATTATAATAATAAAGATAGTGACGACGAGGACTACATTTCATCACCGGAAGGATCGACAGCGGAAGCCAAGCCCAACAGCAGACCACAGGAAATAAAGAAACGATCATCATCTCGAAATACTGAAGATGCTGTTGAGGACAATGGTAATGCTGGTGTGAATGATGATTTTGGTATTGACGATAATGATTTTGATTATGTTGATGATGCCGAGGACGAATTGCTCCAAGTGATTGAAACCACCAATCCTCACCAAATCGCAGACGAGGCAAAGGAAAAGAGTGCCGACGTATTGGACAAGCTTGCCTCCATTCTGCAGGAGAATCCTCTCTTTTGTTCGCAAGTCCGTCGAAAGGATTGGCTGGACGAAATTCAGGAGCTCAAGGATTCTGAGGCTCCAAGGACAGTTTTTGGAGTATTGGGAAATACAGGAGTGTAAGTTTTGGTGACGCTGGAAAGAATCTTGTATATTGATTATGTTGCTTTGTAAATATCATTGATTGTACTGACCTCATTTCAAACTGATCCTACGAATCCAGTGGGAAATCGTCCCTCTTGAATGCCATTCTAGATGAAGCAGCCGTCCTTCCTACTTCAGGTAGTCGTGGATGCACGGCAGCAGTAGTGGAATTGGTCTATCATTCGGAACTCGACGCGGAAGATGATGGCAGTACTCCACAGAGAACGGTTCCAGTCTATCAAGGATCCGTCGAATTCATGACGCTGGAGGACTGGAAGAAGGAACTCAAGATTTTGGTGGAAGAATGTTCCACACAAGAAAAGACAATCTATGTACGACCTCCGGATGAAACGAACGCTGCTGCAGCAGCTGCGGCATGGCAAAAGATTGAACAAGTCTACGGTAGGGATAGCATGAAGGACTACCACGGAAAGCATTCGGATTATGTCTTTACGCGATTGGCCAACAATCCTCGCGTCCGAGTCATGCTGACATCTTCAACTCCTGGACAAGCGTACAATGTGATCAAAGTTCAAGTAGGAGAGTCGGTGGTTGGGTCCGAAGAAGCCAAGGACTTTTTGAAACCAGCCAGCGAGATGAGTCGCAGGGTCCGCCGCAAAAAGGACAAATTGGCACAAAACTTTCGCAAGCAAATCAATTCGTACGTCTACCGCAAAGGCAATGGCTCGGAACCACAAACCTGGCCATTGATTCGCAAAGTGCAGCTGAAAGGACCATGGTCCGTCTTGAATACGGGGGCGGTGCTGGTCGATTTGCCGGGTGTCCGTGACAGCAATGCAGCCCGCGCCAAGGTGGCCCAAAATTATCTGCAGAATTGCAATCAGATTGCCATTGTCGCGCCCATCAAACGGGCTGTGGACGATGGGACCGCCAAGGAATTGTTGGGCGAACAATTCAAGAGGCGACTACTAATGGACGGTCAGTATGGAAATGTATTCTTTATTTGTACCCAAACCGATGATTTGGAGGCCACAGAAACCATGCGAGATCATGCAGATGTTGCTCAGCAAGTACCAGGGAGATGGGAGAAGATGGAAGAGCTTGCCAATTCCATTTCGATGATTGAGAACGAGCTGAATGATCTAAAAGAGGAAGAAGACGAGCTGAAGAGTAAAGTTGAGGAGCTGAAAGAGCAGTGCAAGGAAGCAAAAGCAGACTGGGACGAGGGAGAAAAGGAACAAGCCGATGAAGAAACCATGGATAATCTAAAGGCTGTTGTCGATTCGCAAGAGGCGTCGCTCCAACAGGCGCAGCACGATGCCTCCAGTTGGGCGGAACGAAATGAGCAAATAATGGACAAACTTCAAGCCAAATGCGAGAGAATGCAGAAGAAACTCAAGCCCATGTGTGCTAATGTTCGCAATGAGTACAGCAAGTCGTGTCTTCAGGAAGATTTTCGCAACGGCCTGAAAGCCTTGTACAACAACGATGATGGCGACGGAGACAATGCTGCTGCCGCTGCTTCAAGAAATAAGACTCAAAATGTGCTGCCCGATGACTACAACATGGATGTCTTTTGCATTTCGTCGAACGATTATCTCAAGCTCATGGGAATCAAAAGCAATAATGATGGTCAGGCAAACACCTTCTCTTGTCAACGCGATACCCAGATTCCTCAATTGCGATCTTTTGTCCATGAGACCACTGCAAGATTTTGGTACGCAAATGTCTTGATTGCTTACGTGAATTACCAATACCTTTTGAGTGCCTGCATGTTCTGATACCTTTTCCTTCTTCTTGTTTACAGTGAGACACATGCAAAGTCTTTTGTCGAAAATACAAACGATATTCTTGATAGAATGAAGCTGTTGGCAACCGATGCATCGAGTGTCCCGACGGGACGAACTGCTTACAAGATGAAGTCTCAGTTCGAGGCAGTAATGAAGGTGCTCGATGAAAAGCTGAAACCAGTGTCGGACAGCTTCAAAACATCCCTCGATAGAACTATACAAGTTTCGCTAATGCCATCTCTTCAGAAAGGGGCAAAAAGTGGCCAAGGAGTTGCAATGAGCACGGTGGTGTCATGGGGATCCAAGAATCGTCGGACTAAAAATGAACGCACACCAGAGAAGAACGGTACGTCGTTCGTGCTTCGTTTTGCCCCACGTCAATACTTATTTTGTCCCTTACTTTCTTAGTCCCTTGTTGTTTCTTGGATGATATATTAGGGCTCTATTGGTCTACATACCAGGCAGTCTTGAGACGCAGTGGGCAATACACTTCGGCGGCAGCTGGACAAATAGATTTCAACCAAGAGTTGTGCGATCCGATGGAAAAAGAGTTCTCGACCGATTGGCAAGCTGTACTCGATTCTACCATTAAAAAGCTATTGAAAACAGCGGAAATAAGCGTAGCGCAGCTATGCAACGAACTTACTCAGCGACTGGCTAACAGTTTCGGAGAAGGCGGCATGGATAGTTCTCGACTAATCACCATGGTCACCACGGCCAATCGGTCTTGCATGACAGCCTTGAAAGCCGCCTTTCAGCAAATGCTGTCCATGGCGGTAGAATCTCAACGAAACCTCAGCCGAACATTGCTTCCAGCGGTGCAAACAAGTATGAGCGTCGCCTATATATCTTCCCTCAATGTACAAAGAGGACCTGGAAGCTTCATGCGTATGAAAGGGGCCATGTCATCCCATTCGCAAACGGCTGTGGATGGAATGTTCTTGGAAGCCATGAATGATCTGCAGGATGGAGTTGTTGGATTGATTGGTGATCTTGCGAAACTGATTGCAGCATCCAGTGAAGTCGTCCGTAAGAGTATGGAAAACGTGTTTTCAATTTGCTGGGAGGATCAGTCGGCTGGAAATAAGCAGGAGTTGATGGATCCAGTGATGCAGCAAAGGATCCGTGAGTGCAGGGATGCGCTATTACCTCACTTTCAGAATTTGGGTGCAATTCAGCTAAGCGCATGTAAGTTGATTGGTATTGAACGAGAAGAAGTTGAGCTTGATGTAATGGGCGTGGAAACTCTGGATCAAAGCCTAGAACGAAAACTTGAGGAAGCAAAGAAGAAAGGAGATGTCTTTGATTTATGCGATTCGGACGCGGAAGTTCCCGTAGTCCCGAAACGAAGAATCAAGTCGGACCCTGAAACTGCAACAGCATCAGTCGCCCGAGCATCAACGCACGAATTGATCGACCTTTGTGATTCGGATGATGACTGGGAAGCTCCTGCAGCAAGAAGTGGATTATCTGCGAAGAAAGCTTCGCTTTTAATGAAATCAGAAATGCTGTGAAGGACTGCTGCAGCCATTGGATTTTCTAATCCTGATGGAAAGTCAAACATAACCTATGTATAGATATATTCTGTATCTGAAAAGCGACCTGAACCTACCGGTACAGTCCCTACTACCGGTACAGTCTCTAGCAAACTGTCTGTCTGCCCCCCAATTTCAAAGTCAAAGCGACACATACTGTATCGATTCATTGAGGTAGCATACCGGTGGTACATCAGGAAGGCGCGGAGAGACCACGTTACCCATCGTCGACGGAAACCAAAAGAGCTACAATGCCAAAAAAGATACGAGCAGCCATGAGCAGTGCGGCTTCCGATCAGCAGCTTCAATCAAAGAAGAAAGCGTACGTGGGATCGTTCCTTTGATCAGTTGAAGTGGATCATCTCGACGGAATACCCCGTTGTCGGGTATGTCGAAACAAAGGAGTGGAAGAATGCAGCGCTTGCAGGGTGGGTAGAGCGACAACGGTACCAGCATCGCCGAAAAGGACTTGCCAAAGAAAAAGTTGAAAAGCTTTAGAGCGTTGGCTTTTTGTGGGAAGACGATTGATTCATTCGTCAGAGCGTCATGAACAGCCAGCATCACCGAGAAAAAGACCAAAGTTATCCATTAAGGAGCCACCGCAGCAGCCGAAGGAGTCAGTCTCCTCCGAAAATTGCACCAGATATGAGATGGAAATTGCAATTCGAAAAACTAGCTGCGTACATGAAGATTCACCATCCCGATGGTGGTTACGTAAAGAACTCCAAGTGCCATGATGCCAAGTTGGCCAATTGGACTCAGAGGCAGCGTGCCCTCTATCGATGACGACGAATCCAGGGGAAACTCACTCCATTGACGGATGATCGGATTGAAAAGTTGGAGAGCATTGGTTTCGAATGGGAGCACACACTCAGCAAGAACAACAAATCGAACGAAGCGAACAAGGAGGACGTGCAACAACAGACAAAAGAGTCGGGTGATGACGACGACGATGACGACGACGAACCCAATACAAAGGAATGCGACTCAATGGTCGTATTAAGCGCTGTAGAGCCAGCCACATTCAAGAAGGAGGAAAGAGACAAAGAGCAATTCGAAGATGCATCGAATTCTTTAGAGCCGGCCACATCCCAGAAGAAAGACAAAGATCAATCCGATGAAGGTGGCGATGAGTCCTCTCAAGCTGAACTAATATTTGTACTACTAGTAGTGACACTGGAGATGGAAATCAGCAAGCATCTTCTCCGCTCGACAGGGACCGAAAGCCAGCGGCAAGGGCTGGAAAGCGAAAGCGTTCCAAGAGCAATGCAGAGTGGACACATCAAGAGGAAAGTGAAATGGATGAAAGTGAAATGGAATTCAGTGCGAAACGAAAGCGGGGCAAAAACTCCGAAACGAGGAAGTACGCGAGTGCATCGACGATTGACCGCGTCAGTAGCAGTCCTTACGAAGAAGCTATGAAGCAAAATCTACCTCGATTGCTCACCAACCAGTTGGACCTTATGGAGTACGTCAAGGAGGAGAACTCTACTTTGAAGTCTCACCTCATTGACAAGGAGTCGGATTGGCTGGAACATAAACAGTACTTGGAAGAACGCATTCGGACCTTGGAACAAGAGAACGAAGATCTGATAGAGTCTCACAAGGAAGAAAAGGCGCATTGGCAACGTGAGCGGCAGAGACGAAAGCACGCGGAACAGCAACTCAAAAAATTGAAGAAAAAGATTGTCGAATGAATAAATGAATGAAACTTGTTTTGGCGGACAATAACGATCTAGGAATCCTAGGTGTTAATATCTGTAAAGAAATAAGGAACTTTTGTCATGAATAAAATGGACCACGGATGTCACTTTCGTGTCAATGTGTAGATACTAGTAACATTCCATGGTCCCATCATTACTGACTCCCTGTAAATTGTCCCAACAATATATCGGCGAGACCATTCTCCTCTCCATCGTCTCCCTTTCCATCAACCATCAAACCTTGCATCTCTGCTAAGAGATCCGAAGTTTCAATCAATTCTTTTTCAGCCCTGCTCAAAGATGCGAGAGGGGGGGGGGGGATCCACGGGCTATAGGGCCAATCCTACTTGGGCAATCTACAGAGCGAGAACGATTTACGTAAAAGATGAAGCATTTATGTTTGCAGCTGGTAAGAAATGACCTACGAAATATTATCGGTATCAATTCAACGCTCATGACCGGAATAGATGGCAACCCGCAAAAAGAGATCCATTTGGCCTGATGGTGCAATTGGACCAAACATAAATTCGACGGAAAGTCCAGCAGAAGGTAGAGCAAGCTGAAGGCAATTAAACAGCTGCTGCTAGTGGCACCTGGCTCCTCGCCTACAATTTCACGATACAGCTGAAGGACTTGTTCATGATGGTGCTCATCCCATGGGGCCTCATACACCAAAGTTCTAGCCATTGTCACTTTTGCAGCCTTCATGTTTCCCATTGCCTTTTGGCTGAGCGCAATGTACTGATGGCCAAAGGGAACGTGTCGATTCATATGAAGGACCCCTGCTCCTGCCGCCACTGCCTGCTCATACCTTTGGAGATGAAAGCTTGGGCGACACGATCCCACTAACATCTCAAGTTGTTGAGAGGGGTCATAATAGGACCCTCATCCGATTTCTGTAACATTGCCGAGTAGACCAACTTGGCAGCTTCCCAATTTTCCATCGTTTCTTCAGCTTCCCCCAGCATGATACAGACGTCGAAACTCAGCTGCGGCATTGGCACTGTATTGTTCTTTGCTTTATATTCATCAATTTTCATAGCCAATTCTTGAGCTTCTTCCCCCTTGTTTTGAGCAACGAGTGCCTCTCCGTGTTTGTACATGGAATTGAGTTTTTGACGATTTGTGGCTGCCAACTTGACCAGATCCTGCAACCAAAGAAGATCTTTCTTTGTTTTCTCTGGCTCTTGCAGCGACATTAACAGTTCTGCTCTGGTACAAAGTAACTGAGTCATTGTTTCCACATCTGATGACGATACTAATTCTTCAACTGTTGGACGGCCCTTCTTTTCTAATTGGTCGAGTTCGGCCAGCACCCCTAGCCTTAGATTGGTAAGCTTGTCTGACTCTAACGTCTTGTGATCGTTGGCCTTCGCTGCCAAGATTCGTGCCTTTTCTACAATGGAGTCTTGGGACATCAGGTGTCTCGGCACGACAGGCCGGACAACTTAATATGCCCTCCTTCTTGGATTCTTCTTCCATGAAGGGAAACAATTAACGGTGTGGTGGCTGCATTATTCTTCACTGTTTTTTGCCATTTCGCCAAGCAAGCAAAGCAAAAGGCATACCACACGATGGTAAAACGTATGGGTCCACCATCGGATGACACAGGCAAATGGCACAATCTTGGTTCTTCTGTCCCTCCTTCAATTCCCCACGAGCTTGCGGCATTTCTCCGTCTTCGAAATCCAGCGTAGCGAGTCTGATCTCATCCATACACCGTTTGATCGCATTCATACCGTGGCAGAATTCCTTGTGGTTTACCTTCCGGTGCTTTTTTTGACAAGCCACGCTGCAGTAAAAAGCAGTTCGACATCTAGAACACCGTTTCTTGAGTGCTGCAACATTGCAATTGGGGCCATCACAGGTAATGTACTCTCTGCCAAAAGCTAACGATGATGTCGACAAAGTTCCAATGGACAAGACAATCGACTTGCAGGTTTGCAAGCAAGTAATGTGACGATGCTACTGCGCAAGTATTGCTTTGACATGATCACAATGATGCGCAGTATACACGACGATCGCGGATCATGCAGTACTTGTATCGTCTCCGCCAGACCGCCAACTTCGACTCATTTGACTTCTTTTCAATCTCCAAAGACAGATAATAATACTGTAACTAACGGAGCGCTATGGGCATGCGATATTCAGATACCCTACCATACCAGTGGTACGGTATGTGCAATGCATCTACAGTAACTCTGTGCGGCAACGTAATACCATAAGAATGTCAAAGGACGAGCGACACGACTCTGGCATAAACATTTTCGGGTAACGCCATTATCACTTTAAAAAAGACTGTATCCTCAATCCAATTAAATACCGTATCTTCACCAGTTGCTTTTCGAAGCCAACCAGGTACCGGTTACCGGTACCTGGTACCATCCGTATGGTATGAAGGATCCATTGTTCAGTTGCAGGACTTGACGTTCATTTCTTTGATTGCGCGCTCTTATTCTGTGTCAGAAACGTGGAGGCACTTTTATTGGCAGATTCATTCATTCGCCGCCTCCTCTTGCAACTGTTGACGTCAGAATACTCCCGACGTCTTCTCTCGGATTCGACATGTTTATCAAGAGGTCGTACATTTGGCGTATGGGTGGCTGACAACTACCCTCGCAAATATTCGACAAGTGTTCGCATGTGCCGCAAATCTAACCTGCAGTAGTATTTCTACACGGCCACAATTTTTGTGGCCGCGGGCAGAGAGATCCCGACCAAAGACAAACTGACAGCAGACGGAAAAAAAGGTTCGAATGTTCTAGTAGTATTTCTACTACGCTGCCACAAAGATAGTCCTGCCGGGCAGAGAGACCCCGAGAAAAGACAAACTAACAGATGACGAAAAAAGAAGGCTTCTGGTCAGCGTTAAACTATGCGGAAAACAAAATAAACAAACTACCACTGCTACATAAGAAACTGTACAATGGACATATCAGTAGGGTTAAAGTTGACAGATGTTCGCAATCATCGGGAGGTCTTTCTTTGCTAGTATACGGTGGAATCTAGTACATAATCTACATAAAAGATCACTTTCCGTTCAGCACCTCAATTAGGATCAAATTTGCCGATCATTTTTCATAAAAAATTGAATCATCTCTGACAAGGTGTCACGTCAAGATGGAAGACTCTCTGGAAGTGAAACCAGGTAGCGAACCTGCCAACTTCGAGAAGGAAAAGCCTCAAGACGATGAAGAAGATACCATCGTTGAGCATGAGAAGTATGGAATGAGAGAAATTGTCATTCCTGTTGGAGACAAAGAAATCCGATTCAACCCGGTGACAAGCGTCTTCGCCATTGCCTTTCTTTGGGGACGTAAGTTTCATGCCTTGTACTATTCACTACCTTTCCCCAATTTAAGCATTCATTGACTTACACTACGTCTTCTGTGCCTCGCCGCCTATTCATTATCATCTTCATTATCAGTTGCCGTATGGTGCATGACCGACCCTGAGTTTTCACGAGACAAACTCGTTGAGTTCAGAGGAAATGTTGCCGAGCTGTTCACGTGGTTCTACGTTGGTACCAACCCTGCTTTCATGGTAAGCCTTCTTGATCTCCAGATTTCCTGAGAAGGAATGTACGCAACGACCGGGAGAGCAATCAGCCAGTCCCAAGTTGAAGTCTTTGATCTAACCCCATCCAATTATTGTTGCCTACCTACAGTTCTTCATCCTCTGGGTTGCATACCGATATGGTAACATTCGCCTTGGCCCCCAGGACTCTACACCAGAATTCGATGATATCACCTACTTTTCCATGCTTTTCTCTGCTGGAGTGGGTGTTGGTCTCTTTTTCTATGGTGGTAAGTTGCTTGCTTGCTTCAGGTCATGAGTTCATGCCACATGCATCAAATCATCCGATACAGTTCTTCTCACGACTCTCCTTCTCCCACACTAACATTCTACAGTTGCCGAACCCCTTTGGCACCGTGGATCTCACTGGTTTGCCGAAACCGGATACAAGGCCCAAGATGAAATTGATATGTTTGCCCTTAACATTACAGTCTTCCACTGGGGAATCACTGGATGGTCGCAATACCTCATTGTCGCCATTTGTTCTGGACTCGTCAGCTTCCGTTTCAAGCTGCCTCTGACCCTCCGATCGTGCTTCTACCCGTTGTTGGGAGAGTACACCTGGGGATGGATTGGCGACATCATTGACGGATACACCATTGTGACCACTGTCGCTGGTGTATGTACCAGTCTTGGATTGGGAGCCTTCCAAATCGCCGCCGGATTGAAGCGTGTGGGTGCCATTGATAAGGACATTTCCGATGATGACCTTACTGATGTTCACCTCTACTCAATCTGGATCATTACTTGCTTGGCCACAATCTCCGTTATTTCTGGAGTTGGAATCGGTATTAAATACCTATCCCAGCTTGCTTTCGGATTGGGACAGTTGCTCTTGTTCTGGGTCTTCACCATGGAAAAGACCAACTTTATTCTTAACTTGATTGTTCAGGTACGTCATTGCTTCCATCGTATGTTGAAATGTGCTTATGGAGAATATACTAACACATTTTACAGGAAGTTGGATACTACTTCCAATGGACCGTCTTCCAAATGAACTTCCATACCGATGCTTTCGGTCAACTGAACCATGGCGAAGGCCGAGCTGTTGATGGCAACTCTGCTGCTACTTGGTTCATGGACGCATGGACAATCTTTTACATCGGTTGGTGGGTCGCTTGGGCCGCTTTTGTTGGTCTATTCATTGCCCGCGTTTCCAGAGGTCGCACCATCCGCAACGTTATCTTCTACAGTTACGCTTGCCCACTCATCTACACCATTATCTGGTTCTGCGTCTTTGGTGGCGTTGGTTTGCGTCAAGTCCGCCAGGCCGAAGAATTGCAAATGATGGGATTGGCCATGCACAATAACAGTGACTTCTACCAAAGTGCTGGAGACGAGTTTTGCTATGACGTTCCTCAAGTTCCCGAGATTTCTTACACTGCTTTGGACAACAGTACCGCCACTTTCACGAATACGTTGATGGGTGTGACTCCGGTCTGTCTATTTAACAGTGGTGATGATCAAACTGCTTGGTTCAACGTCCTCAACTCCTTCACTTACCCAAATGACTTCAGCGGCAGTGGATTTGGACCATTCCTAACCTGGGTGTCCATCTTTTCTCTCAGCATCTACTTCATCACCTCTTCGGATTCTGGTTCTTTGGTTGTCGATCAATTGGCATCCAATGGATTTGAAGACGCACATTGGTTGCAACGCGTGTTCTGGGCATTCACCGAAGGTGGTGCCGCCAGCGCTCTGCTTGTTTCGGGAGGACAGAGTGCTCTGAGGGCTCTACAAGCAGCTTCCATTCTTTCTGGTCTTCCATTCACTTTCTTCTTGATGCTGATGTGTCTGACCATTGTTAGCATGTGTAAGCTTGCCGAAGAAAACGATAAGGAAGGCACCGACCTTTCCTTGGAAGAAGACTACCACCGCAAACGCACTTTCACCATGCCCATCTTTGGGGGTATTTTCAACATCTTCGAAAGAGTCTTCTCTTTCGGTATGACCAATGAGAAACGTTCCAGCATTGCAACGATCAACGGTTCGGATATCTCTGGATTTTTCGTTGCCATTCTTTTCCCTTTCATCCCTTTGAACAACATCTACGGTATGGCCCGACCCAAGTCCTCTAATGCTATCGGCAACAAGGTCATGGTCTTTTTCTACACCATCTTCTATTACTTGACCGTTGGTCTATTCTGCAGCATCGGCCAGAGCCCTGCCTTCCGCGGAATCGGATGGTCTACCATGGCCCTCGCTGCCCTCATCTTGTGTTCCATTCGCATGACTGTTCGTGACAACAACAAGATTGAAGGAAATGTCATCGCGGATTTCGTTTGTTCCATGTTTCTCTGGCCACAAGTTTTGGTTCAAATGGAAAAGGAATTGACCGAGAAGAACAATACTCCAACTGAGGAAGATGAAGTTGGCCAAGAGAAGCCATACGTAGAGAAAGCGGCTGCCTAGGTTTGCAAAACCGCACCCCTCTCTCCCAGCTAGCTACCTTGATACGATGTCATAAACCGTAACCATGCCCGTAGTAAATATATAGTCTTAGCTTATATTATGTTTTATCCTCATTTTACAAGATAATATTCTTACCTCTCTAATCTTGCAAACATACCAAACAGATTATATACATAAAAATGTAGAGAAGCGCTTCCTGTGTATTTTTCGGATTGAGTCAGCTTTTGGTAGATTGACAGATGTCAATGCTCAATTGTGACATGTACGAGGAGTACCATAATTTGAGTACCTGGTACCGTACCAGTGCCAGGCTGTACTATTTGGACTGTACTACCTACCGGTACCGGTACCAGGTACCAGGTACCAGGTAGTAGCTGATGATTCATTCGAACGACCAACGACAACAACGCGCGTCTGGCATGCGTATGCACTCACGTGACGTGATCGTTTCCCATCAAATAAGCACCTTTTACAATAAAGCAATGAAACTATAGCGCAATGGACATAGCTAGAACACTTCCATCAGCCCCCTCTCCATTGTCCACAGCCATCTTCAATGGGCTACGTCTACTATCACCAAAAACATGGGTAGGTTTGCTACAAGTCAGCTCTCGAAGTCCCTTTTCGGAGTTTGAGCTGGAAACCTTCATCATTGCGACAGTGGGCATTGTGCTTCCGGTTTCAATTCTCTTGTATTCTACCACGCTCTTTGAATCCATGCAACATACACGGCCTCAGCTGGAAAGCGTTCTTGCGTTGTCACCTTGGGTTTGGCAATGCATTTGGCAATTTTGCAATCAGATGTACAAGTTTGCCGTTACAGTGATTTCAAATTTCCGAAACAGAACCAAAGCATTGCCTTCCGCCATTCAAGAATTGCAGACCCGGCTTTCCAATCAGCGGGCGTATCAAACAAGAAGATATACTGTATATTTGCCGAAACAGGATTTGCCACAGATGGATAGTCGTACCGGTAAAGCAAAAGCATCTAAATCAACCAAATCAGCGGTTGGTGGAGGGATGGCAGGTCCTACCAAGGTAATGGTTTTATTTCCTGGGGCATTGGTTCCGGGTGAGGCGTATTCGGAACTAGCCGGGCGTCTATCTGACAGTGGATTGATTGTCGTTGTTCCATCCTTGGAACCTTGTTTGTACGCGGCTCCCAATCTTGGCACTGATGTTGACACGTTTTGTCGGATGGTGAAAAAAGTGCAAGATGAATTAAAATTAGATCCAGTACGCACAGAATGGGTGATTGGTGGGCATTCCATGGGAGCATTCGGGGCAATGAGACTATTTCACCAGTACAATAAGCAGAGACAATTGGACATGTGGAAGTACCTACTGGACCATGTAATTCCAATGAGAGTAAAAGACTTGGTTCTTATCGGTGTGACACCCTTTGTGAAAGAGTGTACAGACCTATCGAGATACGACGATGCGAGAAGGAACCGAATACTGCTGATACAAGCAACTGATGATGTGCTGATGAAAATTCTAGGGGATGGACTAGACGAGCTGTACACGAACTTTCCAGACGCTACAACCATACGGAAAGATATTGTCGGGGGAACACACCATGGCTTTGCCAGCTACAACGATGAAAATGGACAAATTACGATGCAAGAACAGCAGGACCAAGTCTGTGAACACATTGTCGAGTTCTTGCAACTCAAAGGTAGAGAAAATGTTCTTTAGCAATGGTACATGTCTCTGGTTTGCTGTATCAAGCAGTGCTCGACAGGGCAATAATTCGGCCCAGTTCTTTGGTCAGCGCATCGGGGCGGAATGGAAGAGGTTTGAACACAAAGGAATCCGCACCAGCGTCCTTGAAGGATGCATGTGCATCACTTCCAGACATCCCACAAATCAATCTACCAAATCCTTGTTCCCTCAGCTTGGTAACTACATCTGAGCCCAAGAGTGCGCCTGGCTTGTTTCCCAAATATTCATCCACAAATATCAAATCAAATTTTTTGTCCGAACTGGAAGCCAAAGGAAGAGCCTCTTCTCCGGATTCGACTTCGTTGATCCTCCAATCTGGCGCAATCTTTTTCAATGCCTTTGACAACAGCTTTCGCGAGATCTTGTCATCGTCAATGATCAATATGGAAAACGAAGATGGCAGTGGCTCCGATTCCCGGTCTGAATTGGTTTTGAATTCACAATTACTCTGAGACAACACGGCGCTTGGTACCTTTTTTTCCACGATTTCAATCAGGGAGTTGTTACTCGAGGTCCGACTAAGGTTTGGCTTCATGCTCTCGACTACTGCTTTTCCATTCAGCTCCCATTCTCTGCGGTTTTGTTGGGCGTAAATCAAGTACTCGTCACTAGAGACACCGAATACACCACAATCCTTGAGCTTCTTGGCCAATGGAATGATGTAAAAGTCATAGAATCCAATCTCGCCTTTGTACCACCCATCTGTGGGGTTGGAGTCTCCTCGTTTGTTCTCAAAAGCCTGGTGTTGGAAGAAAACAAATAGAATCATCATGTTAGTGAAGCATATTCGGCAAAGGCTTGAGGCATGTTGACGTCCAAAAGTAATTCCATGCTTACCTTGTACATTTCGTTGTACAATCGCTCGTTCCACCTTCTGTAGATATGCCAATGCTGCATTGTATGTGCAACATCTGATGCTTGAATAAGATGTTCCAAAACGATTGTTGCCTTTCGGTTGGACGCAGTGACAGGGTCTTCGTCAAGCTCTGGGTTAAAGGCTTTCTCCCATCTGGCCTTTCGTGCGGCTGCTAGTTCTTTGTCCATAATGTCGGTTGCCATTACAGTATTCACGAGTACGCTCCGGAACCGAATGAATTCAGCTTCCGTCTTATAGATCGCGTTTCGCAAATTCTGGTAGTCACCCTCCATCAACAAGATCCAGGTCTTGTCAACTGAATTCTGTTCAGCAATACTCTTATTGTTGTACAATTGTGCAAGTGATGTCTTCTCCTTCACAAGCTGTGCATTGGAAACACCAGGGTGGTCCACGTCGTGTACCAATGCGGACAGCACCATGGTAAACTGTGTCAGAGGATCAGATGCAATACCATAAGTTTGGTGATGAAGCTCTTCAATATCTTGTTCAGTATTGCTGTGTGTCACAATCCTTGTCAACAGTTTTACAACCGACATTGAAACATGTGAAGCATGCTCGCTGCAATAGAAGCCGGGTTAGAAAGTCCTTATACATATGATAATGGAAACCATTGCAAAGACCAAAAACAACTCACAAATTGTGGAATGGGTTTTCTCTGTACATCATTGCAATGTGATTGACAAAATCGCGAAGCTCGATAAGAACATCCAGTGATAGATTAAAGTCGCCCAAACCGGGCAATTCTCGAAACGAAGGATCAAACGGTGGTATGTCGATGATTTCCTTAATTTCATTCAAAGGGGTGGATTTCATGGTTGTGTCCAATGATGCTCGTTCCAGCGATGCCACCGCAAGTTCATTTGTTTTCGTGACCGATCGTGATGTCATTCTCGTCATCTCGACAACCCGAAGAAGCACAGCAAGCTCATTTGTGATCCAGTCAACCAATCGATTATGTTTTTCACTAACTTCATCCCCAGCAGATCTTGAAGACATTGAAAGGAGAGTGTGCAAAGAAGCTGACATCGCAGCACTGGCGCTGGCATCCTTCTTGTCCTTTGTAATAGTGAGCCAAAATGTTGTCAGTTCACCTTTGCCCTTCGCCGTGACCTTGTCTTCACGCTGCTCGATCCAGTGGTCCTTTCCAGCAGTGAGTAAAATATTTGCCGTTTCTTTTGATATGTGAATCTTGTCTTGTTTCCCAGTGGTCTCGATTCTGCTACAGGTATTCACAGTATCTCCAAAGAGTTGGAATCTGTACAGGAATGGTTACTGGTTAGTGCAATTTTCACATATGGCTACGAACAAGGCAAGCAATGAGCACAACCGTACCTAGCCTTGTCTCCTCTAAGGACCCCAGCGGTCACTGGACCACTATGGAGTCCAACTCGGAGTCCCAAGTCAGCTGTGTCCGGACCAAGAGATACTTCCAATGCCTTGACAACCTTTTTCATTTTTATCAAACAATCATTGGCAAATCTACTCATTACTACTGCGTGCCCTTTGCATGGCTCTGGAAGACCGACGACTTCACCAATGCAATATAAGATTTCATCCAAACAGTCGATTCCAAACTCGGACTCGTGAGAAACTTACCTGCAACATAACAATCTCCGATCGTTTCAACCTTGAATACCTTGCGTCGTCGAGCGATTTGGTCAAAGCTATGATACAACGATTCGAGGAGAGTAAACACTTGACTGGGTTCTCGCATACTACTCCACGCAGTAAAGCCACAGATATCCGCAAACATGATAGTAGCTTCGGGAAAGAAATCAGCAATCGGCTTGCTGTCGACGAGTTCTTTGGCCGCTTGGAAATTCATCGATCCGCTTCGTTCCAAGATCAGACGGCGATTGTCTTGCTTCTTGCCCTCCACCTCCGCCATGAGTCGCGATTGAACAGCGCTAGGAAAGAGAGAGGAGACCATAGCCGCAGAAGACTGAGCCGATGCAAATAGTTTCGCTTCACGAGCTTTCGATAGTCGATTGTGCAAATGAAAGACTACCATCAGGAACAAGGCGATGCAACAAGCTATGATTGCAGCTGCAGTGGGAAGGGCAGCAGGAGCACTATGGACTTCGCTACCTCCCGTTGGCCGAATTGTGAACGTGTACTGGCAGCTTTCCAAGTGGTCCAAGGTTCGTACGACCTGTGTATCGCTCAACGCAAAGGCACTGGCAGAAGTAGGAAGTGGCGCGATATTGCCTCCATGAAGGATAAAAGAGAAGCCCAATCCACACGATTCTTGTACGTCCAGCTGTAGGTCAATATTAACACCTTCAAAGGCTTCGCCCAAAGCTTTCTCCCAAGACATGAGCGCAAACATTTGACCCACAACTTCTGGAGTTTCAGTGCTGTCATTGGTGCTAAAGGTCTTGAGTACTGCCATGGACAGTAGCGTTCGAGGGGTTGTCGAATTCATAAATTCAGTATCTTGCAGTAGCATTTCAGAATCAAACGACTCAGAGAGCAAAGGTTCATTGGTACCCTTCTTCGCCAGAGACTCTTCGATTATTTGTATTGTATACGGATACGTCAAAGCATCCATATTGATGATGGATCGATCCTTTGGAGGCGGTGAAAATTGCCAAATTGGTGCCGCAACATTCTGAAAGGAATTGAAATCGAGGTCTTCCCCAGTGTACTGATGAATGAAGTATGGAATCTCCGTATTGATGGGAGTCCATCCTCGATTTTGCAGGTCCTCATCAATCCATCCTTGCTTTTGAGATGCATAGTCTTCCCATTCTCGTTTGCTAGTGACGTCACTCGAGAGAATGGGGGTATAGAATACCACATCAGCTTCTGGATGGACCTGTACCCTTTGATCGAAGAAAGGAAGTGTGATACCAGGAAATCCTGGTGCAATGGCATCACCGCCAGCATCATTGGTATTGGACACGTATTGCGCCGTGAGTGTGGTGGACAGATCTGATAGTTGAGAACTGATGCTATGAATGAAAGATCCCAAAATCAACATGGCATCATCTGATATACGCTCGATCTCTTCTTCGAAGGCTTCTTGTTTCCCCTTGCCAACCAGTGATAGCATTCCCGCTATAATCCCTGCAATCGATAGAACCAAGGTGATGTACACGATAATGCGCAATGCCAGGACACTCTTCGATTGTTCTGCTGACGACGTTGCTGTACGTTCGATATCTTGTTTTTCTTCTTTGAAAGAAGCCGACTTTGACATTTCCATGGACCGCATTGTCTCTCTCCCCAATTCCTCCTCCCACGCTTGTTCCATGTTTGGTTTCATCTTGCCGCTTATATTCATTCGTTTGGCGTGACGAGAAGTCGTCTTGGTACCGTATGGGATAGTAGGTCAAAGGTGCGGCTTTTGCACAGGATTTTGCTCGTGTACCCGGAACTTCGTTGAATAAAAAAGCAAGACTGGTGCCCGTGGCACATAAGAAGATTTCCGATATCAGTTCTCCTTTGTATTTAATGTGCAAGGCGAATGTCTCCTTGAAGTGACAATTTCATTAATTGACAGTCGAAGGTTTGAACCCTTTTCGAAGTGCTACTGAAAAATACGCGAAACGATCATTCTCATGGACGACCACCCCGTCCTATGATATTCGAATATGCAGGTATGAATGCACTCACCAGACAAATTCCAATAAATACTGAGAAAATGACTTTTCGAAAAAGTCTTTGCGTACGAAATACCGTTCGACTTTGAGCCTTTTGTGGTAGTATAGTCGCGGAATTGAAGATAATGGACATGATGAATCATGCATCATTCTTCATTCATTCATTCATTCGTTCGTTCGTTCGTTCATTCGTTCCCCTGACTGTTTGCATTCGCCAGTGATGATGTGGCACATCAAATGATATCTCACCTTTGCTTTTATTTTCAGACAGACGTCAGTGTTTCAATGCTAATTTTAAAATAATTGCGAAAACATAAAAGACAACTGTGTGACAGGGCACACAACTGTCTTTCCAAATTGCTGAGGTGGAATTCCAAAACCCACGAAGCACTCAGCAATGGTCATGAAAACAATTCGACGTTGAATATCCTTTTTCTTTAAAAAAAAATCATACTCGTACAAAGCGAGAAAAACATGTTCTATGATAGCCATTGGAAGAGCGACAGGCCGTTTGACTTCCTACAGCAAACAAACTCTCATCACGCGACTCAAGATCAGAGAGCTGGAGAAGAACGCGATGGTGGTCTTTTATATCCTTCCTTGCATTTCACCTGTGTCCTGGTAAGGCGGAATATCTTGTAATCACTACCGTTACATATCAAGACAGGGAGAAAGCCATTCACGAACAATCAACCGGCCGCAGTCGGCAAAAGGGAGGTCGTCGCACCGGCTTCAAATACAGCAAAACAAGACCAACGATTTATATTCCAAGGTTTCAGCTATCCCATGTATTTCTGACATCATGCAACGAATGAATCGGTTTCCATGATGACCAATCTCGTTGGAATGGTAGATATATATTGGTCTTTGGAGGTGCTCTGAGTAGAGCAAAAACAAGGAGCACCCTGGATTCAAAATTTTGTCGTGGGATCGAATCCCAAACGAAGGAGACACCAACAAGACGACAGTAATTGGAAGTGTACAATCCAATAGCTTTGCTTTGTGCCACTTCCATATGCTGCATCGTAGGAATGAATCGTGCCTCCCCCAGTCTTGAGCTCAATGTTCGAGTAGCCTTAGGCATTGTTCTCAAGTTACTGCTTCATAATGCTGGATTAATCGCTCTCTTGCTCGTGAATGCTGCGATTTCATTCTACTTTCGAACATAAGAAGAGTTGGGGTTGCCAGCCGCTTGGCTTGTAGTAGTGTTTGCCGGAGTGGTGGATAGTTTATTGTTCACCAACATGGCCTCAAATGGGATTCCTTCTTCACTGGGCTCATCATCGTCTTGCGTATTCAATTCTTTGATGGAAGGATACCATTCTTCTTTCGCGGAAACCTTCATTGTGGCTTCAGTCGCATGCAGAAACATGTACACGCGGCTTGCCATTAAAAATATGATGACACTGGCGCCCATGGCAAACAATTGGTGTTGCTGTTTCATTGTTCTCTCGTACTGTAAGTTTGAGCTGGAACTATCTTATATGTCACTGTGTGTGAGTGCTTACGGTCTTTCACAAATGACGCTCAAGACAATAACCGTAGGAAAAGGGTATGGGTACCGGTAGTGTTTAAAATATTGAATTTTGCCCTTTCCATTTTTATTTTCAATTTTGTCATTGGTTATGTCGCATTGTGCGACTAGTTCGAAGGCCAGACGATTTTGACAACAGAGTATACTCGTAGATGTTGAATGTTCCATGTTCACTAAACCGACAAAATCTCGAAACTACTCTGTTTTCTGTGTGAAGGACTCAAAATGCAACACCAGAGCTCTGTGAATGAACACGGGAACTAGTGGTGAGCAGTAGCCCGACAGGGCGACAGGGATTGATTGATTGATTCATTTGATTTCCAATGTTCGCTCGCCTCCTCGTAACAGCCAGCAACTCGTCCTCCTCGTTGCTCCTTCAGGAGCAATGTATGATGACCGTAGCGTTTTGAAAATGGTAACACACTTGTGTTGTACTCATCTTGCTCAATTACGGAATCGACAAACCAACTTGGACAGCCCGAATACGAGTAACAGTCGAGGTACGATTGCATCATTCCCAAGTAGGCTTCTTTCCTCTTGACTGCCAGCATTGCTGTTCAAAATATACTTACAAAGTATGGCAAACAGCAAGTAGAATCCAAACAGGACAACCACTAATGCTAACAAGGCAATGGTGGCATCCTTTCCCAGGGTGGTATCCAAAAAGAAGTAAACAAATTTTGGTCCCTTCTCATGAGGGACCCACCGGTACATCATGAACCAGGTAAACAGGACATACGCAACACCTATGGTGGGGCTCACCGCCATGTGTTCCAAGCAAACGGGGGTTCCTCCCAACAAGCACAACTCAATCGAAATCATGATGACATTGGCATTGTGGGTCACCAAACCAAAAAAGGATCGGAACATGTTGGTACCTTGGGGACCCTTGTTCTTGAGACTTTGGGGCCACAGAGCATACTTGACCACGGTACTCACCAGAAAACCGGTTGGTGCGGAAATCTCAAAGGACAATAACGCAAACCGCAGTAGCCATTGTGGGACTCTTTTGTCGTAGGCATCCAAAAAGGAAATGCTGGCCAAGGCCAAAAAGGAAAGTCCCAACAATAGAAAGGACCACCAAGTAAAGGTCGTGATTGATTTCCAACCCTTGAGTACTAGTTTCCAAGGTTTGAGCTGAGACTTGGTGGAAGGAGTTGGGTTGATTTCCATGCCTGGGCCCAATATTCTTGCTATCATGATTCCAAGGGTAAAGGTCGCAAAGATGAAACGAATGACTCCGATACCAAAGGGCGAGATGTAGGTGGGAAGCAGGGGTGTCGTTAAACTTTCAATAGTTGCCACTTGATCAATATCTTTTAGTGTAGGCATTGTGAGTAAGGAGAAGACAGAGACGGCTGTCAGCACCAAGATGGAATGATATGGAGGTGCAGCGGAAAGCGGAAGTTTGGCACTCGGATTGGCATTAGCATTAGCATTATTAGGTGATTGCATGTGTGATGATTGCTTGATTGATTTCTCCATATTGACTGTTGCTATCTTCTATTTTATGCGATTGAATCAACAAGTTTTACGATGAGATGGTCGAAACGGGGACGTCTTCCGAATCAGCACGTCTTAAAATCTTTGATGATGATTTCTTCATTGTAATCGTTGTTCATCATCATCCAAACATAATGCAACATTTTTTATATCGTCATTTCCAAAATCAATCGATGATGTCGGAGATCATTGGAGAAGAAGTGAACCGGAGCCCTTCAGCACCATGTGTGTCGCAAGGCCTGACGCCATCCATCTAAAATCTCACTGGTATCACGAAGGAGTTGGCAATCCTATTCCACCCTAGATCACAACGCATGCAAGATGTCGCTTCGACAACTCCCAAGAGAGATCTATCCGTTGTGGGTTTGCTCAGTTTCTCATTCCAGCCCGCAATGGATTCGAATCTTGGCATGCACATGAAAACCGTGCAAGCCATCTCTTATCAGGCTACTCACAAACATTTATTACGTCACTTTCACACATACAAAGTGGGTCTCGCGTTGGCCCAAGCGAGGAACAAAGTCATTACGGGAAAATTGATAACCTGCTATACTGCACAACTGCTTGTGGCTTGTCGAAAAACGAGAGGGATAAGCTGTGATTTGTTGGTTTGCTGAATAGATATATACTGTCGCTTGCTTGTGATTGCAATCAGCGTGGTTGACATCAGATCAGCAAGATGCATCGCACTGCCATCCAATCTTCTGCGGCATCGTCATCCGGCAGCAGTTACCCGACGATTCCATCTGATTATTTTGGGGATGGCAATGATCAAAGTCGTTACTCCAATGATGATACCGTCACAACCTTCTCTTCGTCGGATATTCGACACAACAATCGTGTGCAACGAGAGCTTCATCGAGCGATTCGAGATTCCATTGTGGCCGAACGAATTTTGGACCGACAGGCACGCAAAAAGTATCCATTGACACAGGAAGAAAAGGAAGAACAACGATTGGCCAAACGGCAATGGGAACTCAGCAATGCAACTCTGAAGAAGATTGCTGGAGAACAAGAAGCCCTATTGCAATTGGTAGCTAAGCAACGTATATCTGAAATGTCTGAAAAGAAACGAATGGAAATGCACCCTCGGATGCAACAAGCCTTGGCTGAAACCATCACTAAGAAAACAGAAAGGGGAGGATTGGTCCAGCAAGTCTTTAACGAGAATACACCCGATATCGGTGATTTTATTCAACAACAAGAAGATGCCCTTCAGACGGTACGCCGCAAGTTGCGACATCAGCAACCGCCAGCCGAGGCATGGGAATGGGAACAGCCACGGCAGCAGCATCACTATCATCTACAACGACAACAACAACAACAACAACAACAACAACAAGTGCAACAACCACGATCACGAGATCGTGTCGGTGCCTATGTTGCTGCTGGGCGACATCAGCAGTATCCTCGTCAGAATCAAAAGGTGGAACCAAACGAAGCTGATTTGGCAGCCTTTGTAAGATTGCAAGATCGAGAATATCGAGCTGCTCAGCGGCGAACCTATGAGCAACGACAACAAGATCGAGAATATCGCCAACAGCACAATCAGTCTCCTGCTATGAGTTTTCCTAGTCAGATGCCTTCGCCGCTGACACCATCCGACGACGATCGTCATCATAGATCAAGAACAACCGGAGGAGCGACAACTCCAGTGAGTCAAGAATCCTACGGCCGATATGTCGAACGCCAAAATCAAGAGCTACAAAAGATTGCCCAAACCAAGTTGGGAGCATCGCCCAAGAATATTCCATTGGCAGCTTCCAAGCCAATGTCGGTGGACAGCAATCCTAGTCCAACCAACTCGGACCTTGAAGTGGCCAATTTGTTTCGCAATGGTGGTGGTTCCGTCAGTGGTGGAAGTGAAGCATCCTTGGACGATTTCGTTCAAGAACAACGCATGGCCTTGGAAAGTTTTCGTCAGGTTTCATCTAAATCATCTCATGCTTCCAGTCGTACGTTGAAGCAACCACAGCAACCACCTTCAGTAGTACCGTCAAGGTTGGCAGTACCAGATCTTCCAGGAGGAGGAGTTGCTGAATCTTCACGATTGAAGCAGGCACCATTGGAAACAACCCGTCTTCAGCAGGCACCACCACACGGGATGTTGAAGCAACCACCGCAGTCATCCTTCTCTTCCATGCAACCAAAGCCACCAAGAAGATGTGAGAGTCCTTCGGTGGGCAACGGGAGTGTTGCAAACTCAATCTCTGGATCACAAGCCAAGGCACCCTTGCAACCATCTCGGCCTGTCCGACGACGAAGTTCTTCCTCGTCCACAAAACCAAAACCCATGGACTCGGATGACGAAGTCTCCTTACCACCACCTCCTCGCAAAGTGTCACGCAATCCGTTCAATGGATCCACCAGCAATCGATCGAGTTTGACGCAACGCATGAAGAAACCAGCACCACCACTTCCCATGACCTTTCAGAAACGCCCGAGTCCCCAAAAGAAGATGAGTCCTCCACCACGTCTGGTCTATGAAGAGGCGGCGCGGTCGGCCCAACATCATCCGCAATACGACCAGCCCGATCCACAGCAAAAATCGATGATCCAGAACAACAACAGCCTTTCCACCAAAAAGGCACCACCTTCGGTATATTCGTACAATCAGAACTATCAAGAAGATGGTAGCTCCTTGTCCAGGAGTATTCCGTCGGCACCGCACTTGGTAGATCTACACGATAGCAAAGGAAACATTCTGTCTCCCAACTATTCAATTGATCACAGTTTGAGTTTGCCAAGTGCCATGACGGATATCAATAGTATGATGATTCCAGAAATGGACGAGCCTTCGGTCTACAGGGATACTTATGAGGACGACGACGAGTATATGGAAGAGGAAGTAATTGAATATGAAGAAGAGGAGTACACAGAAGAAGAAGTGGAAGAAGGAGATGTGAATATGAACATCATCCGGAGCAGTCTCGGTATGAACGATCAAAGCTGTTGTCTGCGTCACCCGAATCAACTGATATGCGAATACAGCCCCTCATTTAGGTTCGATCTGGTAAACACTTGTAAAGTGTGCTCTTCGGAGAGACAAGCGGGATCTTCCCAGTCTACATCGTCTCTCGGAGCTTCCAAGGAAATGGCAAAGGTCATTGGAGACATCCAGCAGCTTCAGTCCAACAAGTCTCAGTGGCGACGAAAGACCAATCTCATGTACTACGGTGATTCATCCTACCAGTCTTCCACCCGAACCGACGTGGTGAACAATACTGATGGCAACAACAAGAAGGATGCTAATCTTGTGGTACCACTTTTGGAAAGCGATTGGAAAAATCAAGTCATTCGCCGCGTGGACCAAATTCAGAGTTGGGAAAAAGTAACAGCCTTGAAATACAACCCACGCAGTGCCAGATTCTTTCGAATGCTGAAGATGGGTATGTGTTGCGTTTGAAATGTCTTCTTAAATTTGTTGGCTCTTCGATGACTGACCTTGTGCGTTTCAATGCCAACAGGAGTTCCAATGGGTGCAGTCCAAATCGAATGTGAGTTGGAGGGTTGTGATCCTGCAATCCTGCAATTCGATCCCGAGCGAACGGTTACGGAGCAGTTGGAGGAGCACTGCCCCAATGATCCAGACACGCAAGCGAATCTGATATTGAAATTTGACCAAGGGTCGTTGTTGGAGGATTGCACTGCGGCAGAAGTTGTTGATGTTATCACAAAAGCGTTCGAAACAGAGTATACCCGGACCGAAGAAAAGAAAGCACGCAAACGTAAGCGGCAGCCAAATGTTCCTCCTACACTTCGAGAATTAGATTTCTTGCCCCAAGCCACTTCCGAAGAGAACATTCGTCAACTGGAACAAGAAAAGGCCAGAGCAGACGATGCCAGCAAGCGAAGGCGCATTGAGGAGGAAGCAAGAGTGAGGGCTGAAGAAGAATTGGAAAGTGCTCGACAAGCCGAGAAAGCAGCACGAGAGCAGGTCGAGGAGGATGCCGAGGAGATTATTATCTTAACGCAGGCACAGATGCTAATGCGAGAAAAGGCCGACGATGCCAGTCGACGGAGAAGGGCTGAGATGGACGCACGCCTGAAAGTGGAGGAGCAAATGCAAATGATGAAAGAAGCAGAATCGCAGAGGCGTCAAGAGCAAGAAGTCATGGCCAATGAGGTACAGCGCCTTCGAAAAGCAGAAGTCGAGGCTCGATTGAAAGCTCAAGATTCCAGTGTTCGAAGGCGTGCTGAAATGGAAGAAAGATTGAAAGCGGAAGAGGAGTTGCGACAACTTAGGGAAACAGGAATCGCGCGAAATGAAGATGTTCAACAAACAGCTGAAGAGCTAACGCGTCTACGAGAAGCTGAAGCAACTGCACGGAAGAAAGCAGTGGATTCCAGCATTCGCCGACGTGCAGAAGTCGATGCCAGACTCAAGGCAGAAGAAGAGTTGCAAAGGATGAAGGATTTGGACTTGAAACGAAAAACTGATCTCGAGCGGAACGATCGCGAGATCAAACAGCTCAAGGAAGCAGAGGAAAATGCTCGAAAGAAGGCGGAAGACTCAAGTATTCGCCGGCGAGAGGAAGTAGAAGCAAGAATCAAGGCCGAGGACGAACTGAAGAAGCTTGCCAACTTGGAATCAAGAGCTCAGAAGGAACTTGGTGATCTAGCATCGGAATTGAAACGATTGCAGAAAGCCGAGTCCGAAGCCAGGGAAAAGGCTGTTGTGGCCATCCAGAGCCGCCGCGAGGAGACCGATACAAGGAAGAAACTTGAAGACGAGTTGGAGGAGATCAAAAGGACTGAAGCTGAATCGAAAGAAGCAGCTGAAAAGAACGCAAAGAAGCTGAAGAAGGAGAGGAGTGCATTAAAGGATCTAAAGAAGGAACACGATCGCCGTCTTCAAGAGCTAGACACTGCGAAGAAAGAAGCTGAGGAACGAGCGCAGCGTTTGGAAGAAGAAAAAGCTTCGATGGAGTCAAAGCTGAAATCGGAGGCTTCAGAGCATTCAGCATCTATCAGAGCAAGAGAAACAGAAGCACTTCGTCGACATGAAGCAGAGGAGGCAACTCAAATGATGATTGCGGAGCAAGCAAAGCATTTGCAAGAAGAAATTCAAAAAAGAGCCGGGGCAGAAGAAAGGGCTCTGGCACTGGAGCAAGAAAAGGAGTCTGTTGAAAAGCAGTTGGCGTTCCAGGAGGGAGCAAGACGGGCAATCGAAGTTGAGGTTGCTCAGCTAAAAGCCAAGGAGCAAGATCGTATCCAAGCGGTCAAGAGAGCTCAGAAGAAGTTGGAGAGTGTGGAGAAAGAGAAGACCGCTGTTGCACAAAAGTTGAAATTGGAAGTTGAAACGCGACAGATTGCAGAAGGCGAGGTAGCCAAATTAAAGGCTTTCCAAACTAAACGAGAGTCTGAAGGTCAGCAACGAGAAGAACAAGCAGTCGCGACCGCTCAGCGCCAATTTGAGCTCGAAAGACTGCGACTGCAAGCTGAGTTGAAAAAGGAGGAGCAAGCAAGGCTTGAAGCTGATTTTGCACGACAGGCAGCCGAGGAGGAAGTACGACGAAAGGGTGTACAGGAACTAAAGTCGAGATCTGAAGCTACCGAGTCGCTGAAGCGGGAAAAGGATGCCCGATTAAAGGTGGAAAGCGAGGCGAAACGATTGAAGAACGAAGCCAAAATGGCAAGAGAGATGATTGCTGTTTCTGAGGCAGCAGAAGAGGAGATACGAGAACGATTGGAAAAGGAAATCAAGGCAAAACTGGAAGTCGAAACAAAGCTGAAAGATGAAGCCAAAGCCCGGAAGTACGCTGAAAGCAATGCCGAACTACTGAAGGCCAGCGTTGCTGAAGAAAGCGCAAATAGATTGAAAGCTGATGAAGAGAGCGGGAGAGAGCCACGAGTCGGAGTAGAATCTGATGACCAGTCGGGACCGAAATCACCTTATCCTGACTCTCTGCCGTATTTGTCATCACACTCAGAAACAAGTTGGGACGAAATGGAAGTTGTGGATTCGGCAAGCGAAGCAACCGAAGATGAAATGGAACTGGTTTCTGACGAAGAACATGAAGTCATCGAAGAAGAAATTGTTATGGTGGAAGAGATTGTTGATGACGACGCTGATTTTGATGACCTACAGGCCAGTCGTGTGGCCCAAGAAGAGTCAGTTGAGGGGGACGGTAGCAGTTCTCCCTCTCTGAGCGTAGAAAGTACGAAGCCACTGTCAGATGCACGATATCGGCAGCAACTGATAGATGCAGAATTCGACAGAATCATCAGGGACGCCGAAGAGCATGAGTTAGAAGAGAAGATCGAACCCGAAGCAGTGGAGGCTTTGAGGATCGCTTCAAACATTCTGCCATACAGGAAGAAATACTACAACAGCAGTGAGGATAGATTCATTTTCTATCCATCAATTCGGCGCCTCCTTATTGAATACACCTTGATCGAGAAGGCGGAGCAGTACTACTATGAAGAGGACGACGAGTTCCCAATCGAGTACTCTGCAGCACTTCGTGCCATCGCTTGTGAGTCGACTGGGGATGACGACAGCGAAGACGAAGAGATGGAGCAGTTTGGTGTCGACATTTTGTTCCAAGGGGCTGCTATGGCAGAACTGGTCTCTCCATCGGAAGATGCTGAATTTGAAATTGTCGCTGACGTTTCGGATGTGTCAGATGACGAAGAAATGGCGGAGGATAGTCCATCGCCGCTATCCCGTCAGGAAGAAGAGGCGAATAATTCAGAGCCCCCAAGACCCAGTCGGCCATCGCCTGTCTTCAAGAAAATCAAGGCTTGGAAAAATCCATTCGAATAAAAGGTTGCTAGGGAAAGATTTTGTAAATTTCTTCTACATACAGTTTGAGTATTATAATAGTTACGACTCTATTTGTGTACCAATTATTGTTGGCTCATTCCCCTTCGATCCCTCTTTCTAAGCGCAGCGGTGCTTTTGCAAAGGTATGCTTAAGCTTGAACCTTCGTCACATCTACAGTCTCCCCCGAGAGCGATGAAGAACCGAGATTGCGCTTCTTCTTTCTCTTATCACTTGTAGACTTCCCCGATTTGGACGAACTTTTATTTGACACCTTGCCACTCGGAGCAGGACGCGGTGTTGGTCTGGAAGTAGGCCTTCTGGTGGGCCTTCTGGTGGGCCTTGTAGTTGGTCTTCGTGTGGGCCGTGTTACTGGTGTTCGAGCAACAACAGCCGGAGTAGATGGTGAAGAAGGCGAGGACGGTGAGGACGGCGAGGATGCTGCCGCCGGAGTAGACGGTGACGAAGGCGAGGACGGCGAGGATGGCGATGACGGTGATGATGGTGAGGATGCTGCCGCCGGGGTAGATGGTGATGAAGGCGATGACGGTGATGAAGGCGATGAAGGCGATGACGGTGAGGATGGTGAGGACGGCGAAGACGGTGAGGATGGCGATGTGCCGGGCGGAGGAGCAGCTGCTCCAGCATCAGCCACTGCAGGCACGGGTGGGGGTGCCACGACAACGTCGGCCAGTGCCAAGTTTTCAACCCCATCGCAACAGGCAAGACGTTCACCTGTGGTATTTCAATCACAATTGAAACAATTGGTAAGAAGAAAAAAATGAAATCAAGATCCACCGTTGCTTCGCCTGGAAGAAATCAAAAACTTACCATTAGCTGCGGGGCAGCATTCTCCAGTGAGCCCTTCGAGTGCACAAGTAAAATAGTCCGAACATTGAGTTGACTCCACAACTTGCAAACTTTGAACTCCATCGCAGCATTCAAGACGGTCGCCTGTGGTGTGAATCGAGCCGTAAGACACAATGGAAAGGTAGAAGAGCTCGTTTGAAAATGCGAAAAAGCGACTTACCATCAGCTGTTGGGCAGCATTCTCCTGTGAGCCCTTCGGCAACACATTCAGAGTAATCCGAGCATTGACTTGGTGGAACTATACCATCGCAACAATCAAGACGCTCACCTGTGATATAGACGAAAATGTGTCAGATAATGAGGAAAGGTCTGAGAAATCTTCAGAGTCGATGGTGAAAAGTATAGCAATGGCTTACCATCAGATGTGGTGCAACATTCTCCAGTGAGTCCCGCAGTGACACAAGCCGGGTAGTCCGCGCACTGATTTGATGGGACAATACCATCGCAACATTCAAGACGGACACCTGTGATATGGTCAGAAGGAAAGGGATCAATTATGAGGGACATTCCGTGGGCGTCAAGAGCCAAGAACCAATATGATGAGAATGGCTTACCGTCAACTGTGGTACAACATTCTCCAGTGAGACCTGCAATGGCACATGCCGGGTAGTCCGCACATTGATTCGACGGAACTGTGCCATCACAGCAATCAAGACGTACGCCTATGATTTAGCCGGCAACAGATGTATTAGTTGTGAGAGAAATATTTAGGTGTCACGAACGGAGTATATATACGACCAAGGACTTACCATCAATCGTTGTACAGCATTCTCCAGCGAGCCCTGCAGAAGCACAAGCCGGATAGTCCGCACATTGATTCGAAGGGACTATACCATCGCAACAATCAAGACGGACGCCTGCGACATGGATTGTAACAAGTGCATCAATTGTGAGGAACATCTTATTGGCGTCAAGAATGGAGAACAGGTATTCTAATGAGAATCGATCAAAACGGCTTACCGTCAATTGTGGTACAACATTCTCCAGTGAGACCTGCAATGGCACATGCCGGGTAGTCCGCACATTGATTTGACGGAACGATGCCGTCGCAACAATCAAGACGTACGCCTGTGATATGGTCAGCGAAAAGTCCATCAATTGTCAGAAACAGTTTTTGTGTGCCGACGAGACGAGTCGATGGTCGATAGTCGATAGGATAATAGCATCGCCTTACCGTCAATTGTGGTACAGCATTCTCCAGTAAGCCCTGCAGTGGCACAAGCTGGGTAATCCGCGCACTGATTGGAAGGAACTATACCGTCACAACAATCGAGACGAACGTCTATCAGTTTCCAAAAAATTGAGAGTCGTTGAGAGTCGTTATGGATTGTTAGTTGATTGGCCCAAAGAATTAGAACAGCTTACCGTCAATTGTATTGCAGCACTCTCCAGTGAGTCCTGCAATGGCACAAGCAGGGAATTGGGAACAATCACTTGTCGTAGATGGGGGTTCGCTTGGTGCGAGAGACGGTGACTCGGAGGGATCAGTCACACCACCGCAACAATCCAAATTTTCACCTGAAAAAAGAGTTGTGCAACGCCAAATTAGGTGACATTTCACACAGGAGATAGGGACAAGCAATAGGCACATACCGTCTTGTGTCGGGCAGCATTCTCCTGTTAGTCCCTCGTCATTACATCGTTGATACGCAGAACATGATGATGGACCATCAGGATTATTCTCTCCACAGCACTCGAGCATTTCACCATCCTGAAAAAGTGAGTGGAAAAAGGTGAGACGTGTGATAATTTCAGAACAGCTGCAATGCAATCAGCCTAGATACCTACCGCTGTTGGGCAGCAAAAATCCTCAAGTCCTAACCGTTCACATGCCGGATACAATGAACATTCTGCTCCAAACCCCTCACAGCATTCCACTGTCAAGATCATCATTGTTTCGCGACAAAGAAAAAGGTTTTCCAAAGTAGAGTCATCCAGTGTGAGATGTGGTGAGATCGTATTCCCGTCAAAAATATGGTGTCCCAAGCAACATCGGCGACACTTACGGTAAACAAATTCTGTGGTTGGGCAACAAAATCCTGAAAGACCTCGGCATAATTCATGGGCTGAACATTCTGGGTTTAGAGCATTGGCAGAACCGGCAAGAAGGACAGCCGCTAAAAATATCTTCGCTAATGTATTCATGGGCATTGTCAGTTTGGTATGGACGAAGGGATGTTGTCTTGAACTCGCAACTTGTGTTGGAAATTGAATTTTTTGCAAGTTGGTGCGATGGAATGTCGTGCGACACGGTTACTTATGGTGTCATGCGTGTGCCACATGATCTTGGAGCACGCTAATCCATGTTCTGCGCACTTCCTATAACCGTTATCCCCGCTTTAGTAATATATTGCTATGAAATAGTATTGTTTTATTTGCAGAAGCATCATTCACCTCTGTACTGGTACGAGTACACTGCAAATTCGTCGGGGTTGCCTCTACCGTACCTACCATACCGGTGCAATCTGCAAATTTGTCCGGGTTGCAGCTTGACTGTAATGCTTTAGTTAGCGTAATGTTTTTTTTTCTATTGTTGTTATCTGCCAAAGCATTGCATGTGGCTCTACCGTTGTGCAAGCAATCTGCTACATATACTTTATGCATCCCCTCATCGCATGTTTGAATGTGTCGCACGTCCCCTTGATAGATCGTCTGGTTTCGGTAATCGCATATTCACTTTGTCAAATCTTTGTCAAATTATTCTTGTTTCCGTAGAAAATATGAGACCAGTCTTGCTAAATTCGACCATGCATTTATAGTTCGAAACATATTCACAATCATTTTAAGGTATGACGCAATATCCATAGTCTCCCTGTCATGATTGAATCAAGCAAAAACAAAGTTAGATTGTTCATCATCGTTTGTACTTGTCTGCGTCAGACTGACTATTACTACTAGTACGTACCTCACCAAATCCAGTACACCCACGCAGTTCTTGATCTTCCACGAGATACAAACAAATGAGGTTGCCTTGGCAATCGGAATCTTCATAACAATCAGCCTCGCACAGGCCAAGAGGATAGGTCTTTCCCAAACCCCCTTCCTTGTCGGCTACAATGACAGCCGTATCGGCCCGTTCGGGTCTGTGACAAAAGTCTTCAAATCCCGTTCCAAAGTCGCGTGGGTCGCTGGAGCATCCATTGACCGAGACAGAAGGAACGCCTGGTCTATCTCCTTCGTAGTCCCGGAACCCACAAACAAGACCCAGCGCACAATCCGAATGGAAATCACAATCTAAATATGAAACAAGAAGCAAGCCAGCAAGTGAACAGAGCGCAAAATGATTAGACTTCATGCCAATGTAGATATAAAATCATCGTCAAAATCATAGTACATACCTCCTTCGCATTCACCAAGCTGATAGTAATCCCAAAGTTGATCACCAACAAAGCTTAGTTGCGGTAGTGTAGCTCCTGGCGTTGGTTGCGGTGTAGGAAGGGGCGTCGGCGGTTGCGTTGGTCCTGGAGTTGGCTGTGGTGTTGGTGGAACAGTAGGTGGTGGGGTAGGAGGTGGTGTGGGAGCCTTGGTCGGGGCAGACGTCACAGCCGTAGGAGGTGGTGTACTACCAGGTTGTGGAACGGGTGTGGGCGGCCTAGTAGGAGCCTTGGTGGGTGCCTTTGTGGGAGCTTTGGTCGGTGATTTGGTAGGAGCCAACGTGGGTGCCTTTGTGGGCGGAGGGGTTGGTCCCATCACAGGAGCAAACGTTGGACCTGGTGTGACGGGTGGAGTGGGATTCGGCGTCGGTCTGGTGTTGCTGGTTTCACCATCGTCAGCTCCTCCTCCATCATTGAGCAATTCTGCAACGTCATTGCAGCAATACAAGTAAATGCCATCCGGGGTTGGACAACAGGCTCCCGCCAAACCCCGTTCCGCACAAATGGGATGGCTGGAACACTCTGCAGCACTAGTTGGAATAGAATCTTCTTCGCAGCATTCCACTACACAAAAAGAAAGCGAACAGAAAGATAGACTGTTTTGTGAGTATTACGCCGTATTTGCAAACCAATGGACAAGTGTCCATGGCATTTTCCGTCCATGTCGCATTCGAGGCTTCGTTTCTTACAAAATCTAAAATCAATTGTGGGACAGCAATCTCCTTCTAATGTTCCGCATCTCGGATGAGCAGCGCATTCTGGATTCAGTGCGTTAGAGGGCGTGATAGAGGATGCCAAAACCGCTACAGATAGTATCGTTTCGATGGATCTCATCACCATGGTGAACCTTGTTGTTTGGTGAATAAGAAGGTATTAATAAGGGAGTGAATTTCAAAAATCAAAATCTCAAACAAACCAAAGTCCAATTTTGGCGTGAATCAGTCGTTTTTACGCTGCGACGGTAGTGCGACACTAAACATCTAGATCAAAATCATTTACAAGAGTCCAAAACCACCAAATTGTTAGAAATAGCGAGCGGGCAGACTATTTTGGGCGGCAAATTTGATTGTAGATAGGGAGTGAGAAAGTTCTTCGTCTACCCGAAACCGATACCAGTATTACCTACCGGTAGAGTAGCAACCGATGGTTCAAACCATCATGTGTGGCGTGACGTGCGTGACGTGAAGGCTCTAGAGAGAGAAAATCAACAGCCGTGCAACGACGCCATCAGCTACAGTATTGAGTTGAAATGGTCAGTACTAAGACCTGAGTATTATGCATCATAGGATTTAGTACGAAGCATACTAGACAAACCACCAAGAACTTGAACCACAGCGAGTAGTACAGTATCCATACTGTACAGCACTCATTCAGTGAGCATACTATCCTTGTGATGTGGAAAAAAATCAAAAGAGTTTTGCAGTAGTAGTCGAGCAAGTCAGTCAGTCATTGTCGCATTACTCATGACACGAATCGCAATGACGTCATCTGACAAGCACAGCAATAATCATCACACGACGGCAGTGACAATAAGCAACCAGAGGAGAGCAAAGAGTCTTGTGCGTCAGACAACATCCCCTTTGCATATTATTTCTGCAAACCTAAGGAATATGATACCTTCAACGAAATATCTTCTATTGAGCTTGGTCTCTTGCTTGACAACATCCGGCGTAGTCAATGGCTTCAGCAGTTCCTCCATGCCTCCTCGTCCTTCCATAATTTCACAATCACTGTTCAGCCGCAGTGATTCAGTCGTGGTGTTGTTTGGCAAGAACTCCAAAAAAGGTCGATTGGGTGGTCTACTGGAGGAAGCAGGTGGCACGGTGGCCCCCACAGCACCGCGATCAAGATCGTCATCCTCGTCATCCTCGTCAACAACAAAAACGTCCAAAAAGAAAAAGAGCAGCAAGGGCAGTGATAACAGTAGCAGTAGTAGTACTACCATTGCACCAGGCTTGGCAGAATGGATGACACAACAGGATAATGGTGGTGATAACGAAACGGAGGAGACTGTTGCTGCTGCTGCTGCTGCTGCTGCTGCCGAAACTACCAAAAAGGCCAAGAAATCGGATCGCCGCGAACAGCAAAGTATTCGAAAGGAGCAAGATGAGAAACGAACTGCAAAGATTCAAGCAGCAATCAAAACGTTGGAAGAAGCTTTGGAAGAAAATGGTAATTTGGAGGGTATTCTTTCCGCCGTTCGTGGTCTCGTACAGTTGGGCGATGATTCCAATACCAGCCTCAAGACTCTCCTCTCAACCAAGACACGGTCGGACTACCGATTGGCATGGGTAGGTGGCGACGATGCCGTTTGTCATTTAGGAACTGGACTTCACAAGGTCCCACTGGCTCGTTTGCAAGAAGTCTTTCTCAGTTGCATGGGCCGCAATCGCATCGAAGTTTCCGAAGTCATTCGAATTCTGGGTCCCTTTCCAAATGTTCGAAATATTTTGCAAGGCTCCACCAAGGTGGGAACCGCAAAAGGCAGCAATGGAGGTAGTAATGGCGTTGAATCCATGAACATTGTCATGGACAGCATGGTAGATGGTACTGGTAAGGAGATTCTTGCTGGTACTGACGACAATGTTCGAAGGGTCGGCCTTCAAATTTACTTTTCCGATGAGAAAGCAATTGTGGCAGTGGTGCCACCAGAGGATGGTGTCCGAAATGATCCGCTAGAGGACAATGGAGCACATGTGCTGGTGTTTGTACGAGAAGAAGATCTGGATGATAAATTGGACCAAATGCGAGTTTCCTAAACATCATATATAGATTGATGCATCATGAAAAATTTCAACAAAAGTCATATATAATATATTATATTTTTCAACTATTATACTTGAGACAATACAATTTAGCAATAACATCTTGAGTTCGTTTTGAATTATCGTCCGTCACGTTTGGTTGCTTGAACCAACAATGAGGAAAAGGCGTGGGCTCCAACTCGGCTATGATATTCATCAAACAGAACCACGCTGCGGTATCCTTCTCGTATACACGACACTGGCATTGCCGCAGCGCCAATCAGTCCATCGCGGCCGTCAGAGCGGCCCTTATCCCAAACGGAAAAGGCAAGAATGGACATCGCCTGTACATCGCAAGAGAATTCGAAACCTTCCTTGTCATCCCACACAGGATTGATGCCATTGTTATTCACTACAGATGTTGTGAATTGAGTTTCCTCTTTGGTAGGCCCATACACTGATACTTTCACATACGGGTTGACCCGAGCACCATGCTTCTTGGTTTTCGGAGAAGGCAAGTAGGCCCCACAGAGAACCCGAATGTTCCATGTTGCCTTGTCTTCATTTTGCAAGTTTAGGTGTCGCAAGAATGAAGGCTTGAGAACATATCCTGAAGATCCATTTGTGCGGAATCGTCCATCTGCCTGTAAAATATGCTTGTCAAACGTGCTCGAGTTCATTGCCACAAGTTGGCAACCTAGAGCCCATTGATACATTGGATCATAGTTCAACTCGCTGCGAGTATTTGTGGCCCTCCATGGTGGGAAGGTACGACACATATGCTCCAATGTGAACTCTTTCAATTTCCTTGCATCGGAACTTTCTTTATCAAAGATTTTCTTTTCAAGAACATCTTGTGCAAAGCTGTGGACATTTGTGTTTGGTTGGGCAAAACTCTTTGGCCAAGCACGGAATTTGGTGGTATTCAAAAAGGTCATCTTTGCCAACGACGTGGGAATTTCAGCAACTCGCTCCGTCTTGTCCATGAATTCCTTTGCTCTTTGAACGATCAGTTCTTGTTCATCGACAAGCGACTGAGTATATCGTACCTTTTCGAGCTCATGTTCTGCCTTGTTATAAGCCAGAGTAGATTGATTAAACTTGATGATCACCTTTCGATCATTGTGCTTTTGAGTGTTCTGGAATACCTTCTCCTTGGAAGCATTTCTCATTGCGTCCTTGTACACCGATTCTGAAGTGTCAAATAGTCTTCTGGCTTCTGATGCCTTTGCGTCAGTCAATTCTTGAATAACCTTTTTCTCTTCATAAGCACGCAGTGCTTCATCACGTTCTTCCTTTTGTCGCTCCAAGTTTTCCTCAAGGCCATCGTTGTTTTCCAAACTATCGTTGTAGTGTGACAAATGCTTCTCCTCAAGACGCGCTTCGTCCGCTTTTAACTTTGCTTCTAGCACTTGCTTCTCTGCAGTCTTCAGTTGGGCTTTCAAACTTTCTCGATTTTCCCCACTCGAGGAGACACTCGATTGAGCCCTCTCACGAGCTATTCTTCGCAAATTTGCTGCTTCTCGTTCCTCTTCCGCATGCGATGCCAAGTCTTCTGCCAGATGCGTGCTACGGTCGGCTTGCTTCCGTGCCTTGGCTGCAATGTTTGCTTGTTCTTTCCAAGCTATCGCCTTGACTTCAAATTCTTGGTGTGTTCCAACTCTTACAGCCTCGGCTCGAGTGATATTGATAGAAAGTTGCTTGATTTTTTCGGCAATGGCGTTACGCTCTTGGATTTTCTTGGCATGCCGGGCCATGGCTTTTCCTGACGATGGGCTGCTAATTTTCTTCTCTTCCCCAGAAGCTTCTTCTCTCTCACTCAAATATTGACTGCTGTTCTCGAGCAGCTTAATTTGATCCTCGATTTTGTTGAGTTCCTCTGATGAACGCTCCGTCTCTTGCTGCATCGCATCGATCTTCTCGGCTGCCGCTCTTAGCTTTTCGTGATAAATCGAAGCTTCCTTCTCCAAAACTTCCTCGCGATGAGTCTCGTCGTCTGCTACAACACGATCTGCCGCGGCACCCTTGGCAGCCCGCTGAGCTCTAGACTCAGTTTCAACAGCACGCTTTTCGCTGATATTGGCTTCCGTCACTGCTGTCGAGACGACATTCTGTGCACTCGATGCTGACTTGTCCATTTGCTGTAGCAACTCTTTCAATTTGATGACTCGCTCTTGCATCTGGTTGTAGTCTTCTCTCATGGTCAGAGCTCGCGAGGCCGCCCGTTTGTACTCGTTGATAATCTTTCGATTTCTTCCGCGGGCTTCCTCCACCACCTTTTCGGCCTCTCGCAGCTTTTTCGTGGCCGCGTTGAGTTTCTGTAGAGCTGTTGTGGCTTCGCCGGATGCCGCAATTGCCTCCGCATCCGCTTCCGCGAATTTGTCGCGAGCACCTTCAACGGCACCAGCAAAGAACTCTTGGACTTCCACACCCTCATCCGCCTCTCGTTCCAACAACCGTTCAAAGTCATCGGGATTGGCGCTCTCTCCATTCAACTTCTTGGCCATTTCAAGCACATTTTCCTTTCTCAGTCCAGCCCTCGTAATCAGCGTATCCAATTCATGTTTCAAACGTGCAGCCTTCTCCGCCGCTTCGTTGGCCCTCAATTCGGCTTCGACGGCATTCATTTTTCGTTTTTCCAATTCATTCTTGGCCATCCACAAAAGCTCGCTGGCAGTATGCCGCGTAAGAGTTGGATCTGGGTCGGTGGATCGTACTGGACCAGCAGCATCAAAGCCAATAACGATTCCGTTCTTGTTTGCCTCTGCTTCCTCGTCGTCCTCTTCTGCCCGAGATTGAACATTGGCCAAACCCAATCGTCCAAAATCATCATTTTCGTCATCGTAATCATCATTGACAATCCTCGCACCTTCCTTGATAACTTCGGGTCGCTTGCCAATGACGACCACCTTGCCAATCATGCTTGCTGGAGATGGTAGCAAGTCTTTGGTGTGCACTGCTTGTGACTCGTCTGGGACCACCAGCAGTCCCTTACTGCCAAGAACATCGTACAATTGCTTGGCCATGACCTTTTGCACGGTAAACGAACAGTGATTCTCAACATTTAGCAAAATGGGAAAGGTGTCTGGATTGGCATCAATGTACTGCGCGACAATCTTCAATACAACTTGAAATGGAAGCGCGCCATAGGATGGCTGTTGATGCGAAATGACTGGGAATGCTGGAACGGATGACGAGGCTTGCTGTTTCGGATCCTTTGGAACACTATCCCAAACGTCCAATTCCAAGCACCGCACCCCACGGCTCAAGGCATTCATGTACATTTCACTTCCGGCTGGACCCGGCATGCCCGAACTGTCCAGCTTTTCGCAATTCAGATAGGTATCGTGACACGTACGGATCCAATAACTCGATAGTGGGTATGTCATGTCATCCGACTGTTTCGATCGTGCTGGATCCATCAATTCGTTGGAATCCCCAAAGAGATACTCCATGAACCCCACCTTGGACAATCGGTCGTCTTTCCCCGAGACGCTCAAGTCCATATCAAAAATTTCTTCTTCATCTTCTTTCCTGACTCCCAAACGTTTGCTGCTGTGAATTGTGGTTGTTGACGACTTTTGAAGAGCCATCAAATCATCCGAAGTCGATATTTGTTGTTCCAGTTTCTTGATGAGGTTGGAGGTATGATTGGGTTGCGCATGATATTCCTTTTGGTGACTCCGGATAAAGGACAAAAAGGCCACATTGGAAATGGTCGAATGTGTACTGGCTTCCCATTCATCCTCCATGGTGACGCTAGTCTCGACTGATTTGTGGTCTGGACGTATATAGGGAACTGGATCGGTGTGCAAAATGTCATTCCACAATCGAGCAATGGGCTCGTCTTGTACCTTTTCCACACCCGTTTGCTGATGCGACAAGTTTTCCAGTCGTTGCAATAGTCGTCCTAGAGCCCACAAGGGCAATTCATGATTTTCGGCAGAAAGGGAGGAATAACCAGAATCCAAGGATTGTGATCGCTTCATTGGAAATGGTTCTTGGAGTGACAACTGTTGTTGTTGTCTGGATTGCTTTTGCTTCAATTCCTTTACCAAATCCCGATACATGGTTCCCATTGGATCGGATACCAAGTTCATGCTTGATTTCTTACTAATGGCCTTGATGCTGGGTCTACCCTTGTATTTGATGGGTGGTGCATTGAGCCGACTGCACAATTCGTAAAATTCCGAAATGGATATCCGATCCATATTTGCGTCCACAAAGGAAGAGGATGATTTTCCCATATCCACCGAATGATATTCCAGTAGCCTCAAGGGTTTCCCCAGACTCCGCTTTTGGACTTGATACAAAATCATGAGATCTTGCAAGGTAGTCACCAAGAGTTGAAAATCTCGTTGGTCCGGAACAATCAAATCAATCGTTTCCAGTGTGGCATGGTTATTGTAGGAATACTTGGAAGGCAAAAAGAGAATCGAAAGCGACGTCTTTTCCATGGACGGATCATCGCACTGGGTAAAACGTTGAGTCAATTGTCCCTTCCATATGGAATCAATCCGTGAAATGTCAATCACCGTGGCCCCACTTTCTTTTTTGGTTTGGTTGACATATTTGATCAAGGAGGAGAGGCCAGTAATTTTGTTGGTGGTAATGTAGAGTGATCGATGATTGGGAGAAAAGGCTAGTCGACGGGTCATGAGTGCGCCAGTCTAAATCGAGTTGTATCGGATTGAAATGAAATGAAATGGATTGGATTGAATTCAATTCAATAAAAGGGTGAAAGCAAAGGGAAATGGTGTGTGAGTGAGATCATGAGACACCAAGCAGGCAACGAGATCTGAACTAATCTATCCATTAACTCGTCTTTCAACAACCCCTCCTTAGCTTGACATACCTTGGACACTTTGAATACTTCCATTCCACTCGTACCATCGTCCAAGAGTTTCTTTTTGGGGCTTTGCAACTTGTTGGCAATCTGATGCTTTTCCAGATTGTAAAGGACGCCCTTTCGATTCGCCGATGGATCCAATGGCGTCAGTGCCGCCTGACCACATTTGGAGCTTGTCAGAAAGGAATTATTGTTGCTGCTGCTTGACATGTTGTGTTTGTGTTGAATGTTTTGTATGTGTGTCAAAAGAGAGTACCTGACGTTTGATCTGATGTACCGAAAGATATGCTGTTAAACTCTTTGCTGCGACTTGAAGACAAACAGTTACAGTGTTGCCCCTTTTCTGCTTCCCTTTCAATGCGCCGTCCAAGTCTGATCCTATCCCAATCTATTAGAATGTGATTCTGAATGAATAAGCGGATGATGAAGAAGAATACTCGGAACGCAAATCAATCAACCAATCGAAATGAAATGAATTGAATTGAATCAAACCAAGGAAAACTAAAGAGCAGCAACGTGGTTCTTCTTTTCGGTAGGCAATGACTGTGTTTCTCCTCTATTGTTGTTTCAGCTCCCTATTACCGTTGCTTCGTTGTCTGAAAGTGATGATGATTGCCTGAGATTCCACCTCTGGAGAGGTTCGCCAATGATCCATAGTTTTGCGCGCCGGACAGCTAGTCCAAGGAGTCCATCAAAAATTCAAAAGGACGACTTGGTTGGCCAGCTCGGTCAATGATCGGAGCAGTCAAATATGAGTCGAAGGAATCCACTCCCATCATTTCTCATGGTTTCCGTTGGGGGTTCCGAGAATCCGATGAACAGTCATTTTGGGACGGGCGAGCGTTGGATGGAAAGTGAACGCCAGCAGGTTCGTTACTTATGACAAGATGTCTCATTCGGTGGCATTGACAGAGTAGCGCCCTTTTCATTTAAGCCTTCATTGGCATTTATCTTTTTATGATGTATTCGAAGTGGGATAGTATTCAATGATCGATTCCAAGCGGGAAGCATTGAAGGTTACGCGTGTTCTAATCGAAGTGACAGTCCGTTCGTGTCTGTTGAAGCGCCAGTCGAGATTCCATAGAATGTGTTTAGATGACACGAGAGCCCCGAATAACGAGCCTGTGGTGGTTCAAGTTTTATGTGTGTGTGGTGTGCATTTCGAATCTGCAAAATTTGGCCCGATAACGTGTTGCCTGTTTTGGAAAACTTATTGGCATTGCTTCACTCTATGTGTATTGCAAAGTACAGCAACATTCAATCCATCATCATCATCATCATCAAGCTGTGACACACACACACACACACTCACACGATGGTTTCATCAATATCCTCCTCCACAACATCAACATCAACATCAACAAAATCACTCAGATTTCCATTTCTCCAATTGCTGTTGCTATCCTCCTGCTGTATCTTTGCGGAATCGGCATCCTCTGATCCAAGCAATCGTGTCTACACAAAGGACACGGACAACGCTCCCAGAGAAGATCTTCCACCGATTCCGACGCTCAATCTGAGAACATCCAAGGTCATTGCTGAAAGATTAGCAGAGACATCAGCCAATGTTACCAACAGCAGCAACAACATTGGCAACTCCTCTTCCTTGTCACAAGAAGACTCGGAGGGAAGACAACTGCGCTACACTGACCTCTATCGAACTCCCATTCAAATTCCAGACCCTAATAATAACAACATTGATTCATCAAGTGACGATCGCAAAAACAACATGTTTCGAATCGTTGGTGGTTCCAGCAATGATGGTTCGGGAGTGCCAAACTTTGCTATGTTGCTGGCAAGCAATCGAGGCAACTACTTTTTTGGTGGCTGTGGGGGATCCCTCATTAGTCCTTGTCACGTCTTGACTGCGGGACATTGTGTGGACAATCCCAATACTGTGGCCAGTATGGGGATTTACGTCAATGCCTACATTCCCTGGGGTGACAATGGTGGATTGCCAGGACACTTTACCACGATAGAGGCCTATGCGATTCATCCACAGTACCGAAACAATGATAGCACAAGACCCCAAAACGATGTGGCCGTCTTGACCATGTCCAAGTGTGTCGATGAAAGCGAACAAGACAAGGATTTCTTTATGCACAACATTATGGAATTGGCTACCCTTGACGATTGGAACCGATTGGCCAATGGCGCAGGTCTCAAAGTTTCAGGATTTGGGTCCACGGATGTCACCAGCATTGGAGGAACTTCTGCGAGCTTTACCGATGTCTTGCAAACGGTCCAAGTGCCGTTTCTTGCCCAATGCCCTCGTCAAGGTTTCTATGCTCCTGGACTCGTTCTAGACAATGACATGATGTGCGCTGGAGGTGGCGGCAGAGATGCTTGCTTTGGTGACAGTGGTGGTCCCTTGTACTTTGAGTACTCGTCCACACCCACCAAACACAGTCGTCTCAGACAATATGGGGTGGTGTCCTGGGGGCATGGATGTGGACTGGCCAACAAACCTGGTGTCTATGCATCCGTACCACATCATTACCAGTACATTTCCAAAATTGTCTGCAGCAATCCCAACGTCCAAATGTCCGATTGGGCGGGCCGTACTGCCATGTGTGGGGAACGACAGGCAAATCCTACCCGACGACCGACTCGTCCACCAACTCGTCCCCCCACTCGAAGGCCGACAGGACGACCTTCTCCCGCACCAACCCCGAACCCTACCCGACCTCCGACACCCATGCCCACCCTCGATTCCGGCAGATATACCTTTGACAATGGTTCCACGGCCGAACGCAAGGAACGTTCTAGTAATACGGACAAGGATGCTGCCAAATTGTCGGGGAGTACCTATGTCAGCAGTCTCACACGGATTCGGGGAGGTGGTGCCAACAGACCACCACCATCTATTGCTGGTGGTGGTCGTCGTCGTCGTCAACGTCAATTATTGGGTGCCTTGCCCGATGGACCCGAGGAAGCCTCCTAAGGAATTAATGCAAAACAGAGACACAAAGCACACAACTTGCTGCTGCTGATGCTGATGCAGTACACGAACCGATCAAGTTTCGGTATCCTCCTATACTATTACTATTATTATATAATAGCTACTGTAGATTTAGAATTTAGATTCATTTTATTTTATACACATTACAAAATAGAAAAAGTCTTGTTCAATCTACTTTAGATTATAGTTGCAGAGGTATGTCGACTACTACTACTTTACAAGAGAAGGAGGAGGGGGTCATTGAAAATAGAATATTATTCTTACAATCTAATCTAATAGCATAAATAGTGCAGTGTATACAACTGGTGCTTCTGGTGGATCAATTTGGATGAAAGGTGCATCCAATAAAAGGGAGACGGACTGTGACTGACTCGCAAAGCCGTTTGGCAATTTTTCGTTGTTTTTTAAACTCCCTGGTACATTCGTGTGCGATCCGTCAATGGTCTTCTATTATTGTTGACCACAACGCAAGTATTATCCCGGCGACGACATTGCAAGGTTCCGCAACAGTCCGAAGCATACAGACATGTGCCCTGGACCTGGCTACATTGTCCACCAAACAAATTGGCAATGGCGTCGGATGGAGCAGTCGATGGTGTCGTGGTAGGTCTGGAAGTGATTGGGCTCAACGTGGGTGGCGCAGTGGTGGCTTCTGGGGTCGGCTCGGGAGTAGGTTCTGGTGTTGGCGCTGGTGTTGGCGCTGGTGTTGGCGCTGGTGTTGGTTCTCTTGTCGGTCCAGGAGTAGGTGCTCGAGTAGGCTCTGGAGTGGGCTCTCTTGTTGGCCCAGGAGTAGGTGGACGAGTAGGTTCTGGTGTTGGCTCTGGAGTAGGTGGACGAGTCGGTCCTGGAGTTGGTGGACGGGTCGGTTGTGGCGTTGGAGGCGGTGTGACTGGTCTGCTGGTAGGCGGTGGTGTGGGAGGTTGTGTTGTCGCAAACGCAACACTGGCACCACAAAGATCCGAGGTACTGGAAGGACCATAGTTGCAGACAATGTTTTCAATCCAACCGCGAAAGTATGCCACTGATGAATAGACGCCTGGACTATTGGCTCTGGCACACCCATATCCCCAGGAAACAACTCCGACTTGATATTCGTCGTTGCCCTTCTTGATGAACAAGGGGCCTCCACTGTCGCCTTGGCAACTGTCTTGACGACCTCCAGCGTATCCAGCACAGATCATGCCATCTTTGATACCGCTGTAGTATTTACTGTAGCATTCCGATTGAGGGATGAATGGAACTTGGACCTTATTGAGCACATTCGAGTAGACGGCCTTGTTGCCGGTTTCTGCTTGCTTTCCAAATCCACTGACTTCCAACATGGTTCCAGCACTGATTGTTTTCATCATATCGTCATCGGCCAACTTGATAATATTGTTGAGAAAATACTGGGCGTTGTTGTGGTTATCGACGCAGGAATCCAGAGTGATCATGGCAATATCATTTTGGTTGGTCCGATCATTGTACCGATTGTGGACTTGAACACTTCGGACTTTGGAAAAGTGAAAAGGTTGTCCTCCATTGCCTTCGTAGGGCTTGAAAGCATTAATGTAAAGCGCGTCAGGGTATCCAGCGCGGCTGCCAGCGACACAATGGGCAGCTGTCAACACATGGCAGTTCGACACCAAACTTCCAGAGCATCCAGCAAATCGGTAACCGCCTTGGTCAACTAAATGCATCGCAAAACTCGGTTGGGTATCGCTAGCATCCACAGCTTGTCCACCAACAATTCTTGATTGGGGCCTTCTTGCCGTAAAAGTAGCATCGGTGTCCACAACCTCGTCACTCAAAATCATTGGATCGTCGGCTCCATCGGAAGTAAGGGAATCCCTAATCTTGTCTAAGCCAGACTGACGATCGTATAGGTTCCGTCTCTCGTCGTTTGCTTCATTCGTAGTCCCTCTCAATTGACTGGCATTCGAGCGGGAGAGAAAAGCGAGAATCAATAATCCTAATTTGTACATTTTGCTTCAAGCGGATAAACATCAAAATATGAGATAAAAATATCCGGCTACTTGCGGCTTTGTTCTACTTGTGACAAGGCGCAAATATTTCCCACATGGTGCGTAACGCCATGAGTGCAGTGCGCCATGATTCAATTTTGGCTGATCGGTGCGCCACCGCGACAAAGCCGTAAGAAGATACCTTCTTCATTGGAATCAAACGAGAAATCAAGCGCCAGGACCTGCAAGTTGCTTACCAAAGAGAACTTGGAACAATAATATCGACAACAACCTAGACAAGAAATGATGGTGGACCAGAAGCCAGTGGATGGTTACAGCACCATCCAAAAATGTCCATCACAGAAGGTTGACCAAAAGGTGAGGCGGATTTGGGTTTTCAGTCTTTACTACACTTGCATCCAACTGTCGGCTCGGCTTGCTCAAAATTATCCCAACTAGCGCGCACTTTCGACTTCTTTAGTCTTTTTGCGAAAATTGACTCCATCAACTGCCGAAATTGTGATTTCAAAGGGCATGTCAACGGGACCGATCTATTCAAAGAAAAGTTCCTTGGCTTCGCAATTCTAGAGTATATGGAATGAAACTTGCTGCCAGTACGCAAAATCACAAATCAGTGTTGGCGAACGAGACCGGCGATAACAATGATGCGGCCAGTGATACGGCCATGCCAAACAAGTCAGAAACGGTCGAGTGCTGGCTGGTTTGAGGTTATCAATCAATATCGGTTCAGTGCACCAATATTCTGGAAAGCATTGAACTTATAAAGGAGAAAAGGATCATGCTATTCAGCTTCGCAAATTTGTCTGTCTTCTGACGTTTTGGAATTGATGAGAAGCTTGGGGGCGATGTCGTATATGGCACGAAATGGAGACCGCAACAATCAGCAATAACAAACAATTGATTCGATAAGACTTCATTATCAGTGGTTGCCTGTGACTTTGCAAAGCCTTCAGGATGATGATTCATTCGACGAGTAAATAGAAGCATCCAGCATGTGTTGACTTTTAAGATTCGGACTCCATCAAGCTCCGACTATAGTCACTGCACTGCGATCTCACAAACTGCCAACGAGTAAGAAAATATTTCCCTGAGTAATGAGAACCCATCTCTTCCAATTTCTTGATTTTTTGCTCGGAACCTAAAGGCTGCAGGTCTCTAGATCCCTTGTTGCATCTTAGTCGCTGACTGACCATCCAAGTGTAAATATTATCGTAGCCGTGTCTCTTTGCTCCAAGCAATCCACTTCCCTACATCATTTGCCACCGATTAAGCAACTATCCGAAGTCCAAGGCAAGTCATTACTCGCTTTAAGACCTCTTTTTTTCTGATTTCAGTAGTCAGCTGGAATTGGCAAACTTTCCATTGTAGTTCCTACTGCGTTGCAGACTATCAATTGATCGAAATATAAGATAGGATATTCGGATTTCGGAATAGCTGTAGATCTCAGATACAGATCGATGTGGTGTATGTACGCTTTGTTGATGGGGTCGTCTCAAGAAGATTGTAAGAATATTCATATGTAATCATCTATTATACTAAAGATCTACAGGGTATTGTGTAAATAGCACTGTTGTTGTGCTTCATTTCGAAGATTGCCGGGAAAGCTGATGGAGAACTGGACTTTTGGGTATCTATCCGGTGATGCCCCTGATCCAATTCGCGTAGGATGCGACCGATGCGTAAACTCCTGGGAAACCGGCTCTGGCGCAACCATATCCCCATGAGACGACTCCGACTTGGTATAGATCGGGTCCATTTCTGAAAAACAATGAGCCGCCGCTATCGCCCTGGCAAGCATCTCTTGCGCCGTTGGGGTATCCGGCACAGACCATGCCATCTCGGATACCAGTGTAGTACTTGTTCTTGCACTCGTTCGGTGCGATGAAGGGAACTTGAACTGAGAGGAGCTCATTCGAATATGGGCCATTTTCCGAAGTCCTTCCAAATCCAGTGGCTTCCAACATGACTCCAGATCGTGGGACCACCTGTCGCATGATATTGTCATCAGCCAGCTTCATGATGTTGCTGAGTATACGTTGGTCAGAGACGCAGGTGTCAAGTGTGATGACAGCAATGTCATGTTGATTGGTGGCGTCATTGTAGCCAGGGTGAATATTGATCGATCGGACGCCCGAAAATTGGGTAGGTTGGCCACCATTGTTGGCAGTATACGGCTTGTAGGCGCCAATGTAAAGCATATGTGGACGTCCTCGACGATGACCAGCGACACAATGGGCAGCAGTCAAAACATGGCAGCTCGAGATCAAGGATCCAGCACATCCACCAAATCGATATCTGAACAAGGTAAAGGCGGGTTAGGTACTGGTGCCGCAGACTATGTTCATCGTGTCGGTCTCAATATTTTACTTACCCTCCTTGATTCACGAGAAACATGGCAAAGCTGTTTTGAGCTTGGGCACGTCCACCGCCTACGATTCTTGCTTGAGGTCCTGAAAATGTAGTGTCGTTTGTAGCAAGCATGGTAGCCTTGATGTCCACAATTTGATCGCTGAGAAAGTCGGGTTCGTCAAAGTTTGGAGTTTCAGGTCCATCGGAAGTAAGGGCGTCTCTGACCTTGTCTAGACCAACCTTGCGGCCACCAGCATGACGTCCACGGTTGTGTGCTTCACCTCGTAGTCGGTTTGCCTGAGCACAAGAAATGAAGGCGATAATCAAGAGTGCAAGTTTGTACATGTTGTTCAAATCGGATTGGCATCAAAAATATGAGATACCTAACTCCGAAAAAGATCTGAATACTTGCTCCATTGGTGGCCATGTGACAATGCGCAAATATTTGACACATGGTGCATACCACCATGGGTAAAGTGCGCCCTGAATCCTTTTTGGCTACACAGTGCGCCACCATGGCAAATCCGCCATGTGCTTTGGCAAAAGATATGGCTAATGTGGTCTCAAGTTTTGGACCCAACGCGCACTCGAAGATCCAATTATATGCATGCCGTCCTTCCTTCTGGTCGGCAGGTACCTGTACAAAATACGGATGTCGCAGTGGTGTCAGTGGTGGTGTCAAGGGTGTCACAGTATCTTGATTTGCCGAACTGCAAGTTCGAAGGTATCATGTATCATACCAAAGTCATAGTTTTCCTCTTGTGAATTCTTACAGTACAGCGTCTTACTCCTCATCCTCATCATAATGGCTGCCATTGTTCGGGTTTTCACCCTCCTTGCTCTTTTCCTTGTCCTTGGACTTTCCAATGCTTTCGTTCCAGCCAACCAACCTAGATTCGCTGCTCGCCCTGAGACCAACCTGAACTTTGGATTCTTGAAAGAACTTGGACTTGAGAAGCCCAGCTGGCTTCCTGACTTTGGAGGGAAAAAGACTGAAACCGAGCCTGAACCTGCTGCCGTCGCAGAGGGTGATGACGAGGCTGAAGAGGAAGCTGAAGCACCTGTAGAGGAGTAAACAGCAGACGATGTCTTCCATACCGTGTTAGAAGATATGAATCATCTGTTCACGATTCAATTACAACTAGAGCACAAGAAAAACAAAATGCATGAAAGGGCCCAAGCAAAAGAAGTGGCTGTCAATTTTGCGACAGCCTAAGACAAGATTAGGTGCTTGACCAATAAAAGACAATACGGGAGTGTCATTGCTGAAGCAAACAAGATACAGAAAATTCCTTGAAGGAGCTTGACACAAAAGGCATCACGAACCATAACCTAGCAAGAATTACATTGCTGAATGTTAGGCCTAGAATATTATACTTCGTTATCCTTTGCGACGGCAGCTCTCTTGGCAGCCGGTTCATCTTCGGACTTGACCACGTTATTCGCCCTACGCTTCGGTCCCCAATGCTTCTCTGGGTTTCGAGGAAATCTTGCCACCTTATCCGTTCCCTTCATTGACTGAGGAACGGAAAAATCGACCGAAATGGTTGATTCCTCGGCCAAAATCATCTGAGCTGGACTACCGTCGACCGGTTGCTTCTTGGGTGGATTCTCCTTTGCCCATGCTCTCATGATATCCCAAATAACACCGTTGGGTGCATCCGTCTTGAGTGCTTGGGGTTCCTTGTGGTATCCACTCACTTGAAAACCAGCGTTGATGATTGCCGCCTTCATGGTCTTCAATGGTGGGCTGTTGACGCCAAGGCTGCGGCACAAATCTGGAATGGTATGATACAAGGGTGTGTCAATCTCTTCGGAAACTGAAGTCAACAATCCAATCAACCGCTTCCGGGTGGCAATCATTTCCATTTTGGGTGAGGAGCCACTCTTGTGCGAGAGTCTTTCCAGAGCTGTCTTTATCACATTTTGGTCGTGGAGTTTCCCAAGCCAAATGGGACCTCCCACCTTGAAGGGAGCTCCAGTCTGCGGACACGAACCTGGATCCAACCTTATCGATTGATACACACTCTTTTTCTTGCCACCCATTTGTCCATGTGGCAGAGTGACGAAAGTGGAACATTTCGTCGATTGATAGACGTGGCCAATGTTCAATGATAAATCAGTGACACCTTTCTTGTCATCGCAGACTTCGACAAAGACTCGGACATAGAATGCCATGCCCACACTCAAGACGGGCCGAATGGTCCTTCCATAGCGGGCTGCAGAAACTGAAATCGTGTGAAGTAGAAGTCGCAGGGCCATTTCCTGCAGGTACTTTGCGGATTGAATGGGAAGGCCCGCATATCGGCCGTAGGCTGTCTCCGGGTGAGATCCGCCAAGGGCAGCCATGTCGGTGCATGTGACACACAAGAGACCGCCACTTTCTACACCTTGGACGGCCCCATCCAAGAACGGCGCCGCACTGCCGTAAGGGTCCAGATCAATGACGTCCCACATTGGTTGTTGTTTCTTTTGAGTTGGTGTCAGTATAGATGCCGTATTCGGCCGCCTCGCCATGTACATTTCGTGGGTAGCATCCCCATGGTTGATGCAAATACCGTGTTCGCGTTCAGCGTTACTCTCCAACAAAATATCCTCAAGCTTATTGTTTTCGATATTGCCCCTTGCTCTTTGTACAGCTGCTTCTTCGAGATCATTGATCGTGACATGCTTGACTCCAGCAATCTCATTCCAATATCGAACAGATCTTAGACCTGATGCTGCCAAGGCTTCAAAGATAGTCACACCATCCTCAGCTCTCGTCTTCAAGAGCTCATCAATATCGATACTATTCTCAAACTCTGTCAATAACTTTTCTTTTTCCTCCTTGGATAGCTCTTCCTTGTTGAGCTCCTTTCGTTTTTTCTTCACGGCACGACGAATGGCACGTCTCTCGGCATACAAACTAATCATCAGAATACTCAAATCCCTATTCTGAACCTGGACAGGATTGTAAAAGACAGTAGACTCTTGATCGGCAGGAAAGCTCATGATTGCAGAGCCTTCCGTGATGGACGTTACTTCGGTCTTGGTGTCGGAATCATCGGTCATGTCGGATGAAAATTGAGATGCGAAAATACTACCGACAGAGCTTCTATTGGGAGTCCAAAGGCGACGAGTGAGATATTTTGGGATTGATGAAAGAATGGTGATTGTGATTGAAGAAGTTTCTTCGATGTGTGCTTCTTGATGTCTTTTCTGGCTCTGTCGCACAAGCGGTGTCTGTTATTATATTTCTTTTGTTGGTAAATAATCGATCCAACAGATCAATGGTCACATGTAGATGGTCAGACGTCAGACGTCAACCATGATGCTCTGGTTGGCAGACAGGCGGCAGGTCAGCGAGCAAGCACATGTTGAGTTTAACGTCTAGAGGCTCACAGGCTTGATTTGCTAAGTAAAATAGTCGGCGACGGTGACCAAGAAGATTCTCGAAAAACTGGCGATGCGGAGTCACATTTTGATGGAAGCTTCCACACCGACAATAAGATACCAATGCTCCATCGACAGTTTCGTCAACGCTTGACGTAGCTCCATAAGCAATGAGTCGTCGAAGTATATTCATAACACTCGGTGTTCTCGCCCTGTCAGAAACAGCACGAAGTAATCAACTACGAGGATATCTACGGAATGATCGTCACGACCACGTGAAGCCAACAAGCAAGAGTGATGAAAATTTCATCCCCTTTGACAATGACGAAAAGGACGCGAAGTCGGTTGCAGTAAAGAAAGGTCAGGCTCGAATAGTTGGTGGAACTACAGCCCCTATACAGCCTAACTTCGTCATGAATCTTGCCATAACCGAAAATGGGTTCAAGTTTGGAGGTTGCGGCGGTACCCTCATCTCCAGGTGTCATGTCTTGACCGCCGCACATTGCGTGACCGAAAGTGGACTGAATGCGGCAAATGCTTTATATATAAATGCATACAAACCATCCGCAAACAACGATCAGATTCCATTCCATTTTTCTTCTGTGGGAAGCATCACCGTTCATCCCAACTACGATAGCGAATGGTCTTCGACTAACGATGACATTGCAGTCATCGGACTGTCGTCATGTGTTGACGAACATCCTTTCAAAGAATTCTTCCTACAAAGTATAATGCGCCTGGCGGATTATGGATTCATGGTCAAAATGTACGAAGGAAGACCAGTTCGACTTTCCGGTTTTGGACGAAAATCACAGGATCCAGGTTCGACATTCTCTTCGGTTCTTCAAAGCGTGGAGGTGCCGTACATTTCCAACGAAATGTGTAAGGAGAGATTCTATGGCGAGCATCTTCATCGTGACGAAGTTTGTGCTGGGCGCTGGGATGGTGGAAAGGACGCTTGTCAAGGGTGAGTTTTGAGGAGTGGTGGTGTTGTTCATTTTTCCTTACGCTGAGCATAGGTGAGCGGTTGCTAATGATTGGATGTATTTTTCGATATATTTTTCATGAACAGAGATTCTGGAGGCCCAATGTTTGTCGAAGAAGGCAATGTTCAAACCCAAATTGGCGTTATCAGTTGGGGGCAGGGTTGTGGCGAGCCAAAGAAACCAGGCGTGTACGCCTCCGTCGCATTTCATCATAGTTTCATCATGGATGTTGTTTGCGAAACCTTGAACACAGAGGAAATCTGCAAGAATCACCCATCCTACGTGCCGCTAACACCATCCCCATCCAGGATTCCTTCAGCGGCACCCTTCGAATCACCATCTGAAGCTCCTTCGTCAGACCCTTCTCAATCCTTTGCTCCATCCGATTCACCGTCAGCAAATCCATCCAGTATTCCTTCGGCAGCGCCATCAACACATTCGAATGCCCCTTCGGTAGAACCATCGCACACTTCATCTGAGATGCCTTCTGAAGCTCCTTCTGTTTCCCCTTCGAAGAGTACTTTGGCTCCGTCCGATTCGCCATCAGTACATCCATCGAGCAGTGCTTCAGCAGCGCCATCGGCCACCCAATCTAACGTTCCTTCGGTAACTCTGTTGCAATTTTCATCTGAAACGCCTCCTGGAGCTCCTTCAGTGGCCCCTTTTACGAATACTTCGGCACCGTCTGATTCACCATCACTGACGCCATCTGTGGTCCCATCAGACATGCCCTCCTTAACTCCGTCGACGCAACCTCCAGTTTCAGAATCAAGGTTTTTTTCAGAAATTATGCACTCCTCATCAGAACCAATTGATGCACCGACTAGCAAACTATCACAATCTTCATCTGAGATGCCTTCTGGAGCTCCTTCTATTGCCCCTTCTAAGAGTATCTTGGCTCCGTCCGATTCACCATCACTGACGCCATCAGTGGTCCCATCAGACATGCCCTCCTTGGTTCCATCGCAATTCCCAGTCTCAGAATCAAGGCTGTCTCCAGAAATTGTGGACTCCTCGCCAATCGATGCACCGACTAGCAAACCATCAAAATTTTCATCTGGATTTCTGATAAGACCAGCAAATGCACCACAGTCATGCCGCGGAATTTGCTACGAACCCTGGTCCTTCACCATGAAGAATCCAAATGAAACAGTCATCTTGCCCAACGGCACTGAACATCCCTGCTTTTTGATCGATTCCGTACTAAAGATGCAACAGGAAGACACCGAAAATAATTTGTGTATCAAACAAGCCCTGGAAGCACGGAATGCTGGCTGCAAATGTGAATAGCTTCCACCAATTTACATGCATGTATAGAACTGTTCAAATGTTTCAATGGGTTCAACTGCCTGTACCATGATGAACAACTGTTCGAAGTTCACTACAGTATATATTACTGTATAGCACATCGTCTATACTGTGACATATTTTCATTCGCCATACGTTTTCGCCATATCTCTCTCGCCATAAAATACAGTCAGTCCGCCCACTCGGAGTTTCGTTCCACACGTTATTTTCCATGCTTTCGGAAAAATAGCAGCACTATGAGCCGCGTTTCACACCATATTTTCCATTTTTATTTATGGTTTCAGAAAAATAGCAGCACCATGGTGCGTTGACCGTGAAGAGTTAGTGCGTTGATCATCGTATTTACACTAGCGTGCTGCGCAATTTCGACTTCAACCACGTAATGAATCACTCTCACGACATTTTTTGCTCGCGATTCCCTAAATGAATCTGACCGGCGTGTCGCATGCCATGGATCCAAGCGTTGCGCAACTCCACAATTTCGAAAGTTTGGAAATTTGCAATTCCCATATTTTCGAAAAATTCGAACTTCCCAAAGGAGTACCATAGCCATTCAAATTAGCCTATCGACCTTCAAAGCAAAAACACAAGTAAATCATGAGTCATATCAGAGGATGGGATGATACAACTTTCCACAACCGAGCATCGCTCACAGTTGGGCGATTGGCACGCCTGAAGCGACGAGAGATGAAAAAGCAAGCAGATATCAACAAACAAGCCGAGCTCTTGCGACAACAAGAAAGAGAGCAACTTCAAATTGAATTCAAAAAGTTCCACGAGCTAGCCATTTTGGAAACTCTGGAACAGATTCCAAAGCCGGCACCTAAGAAGTCGTTGATGTCGAAATTTGTCTCAGCACTCACGCCGTCCTGGATGTCGACATCATCAAAGCCTTCTTCCAAGGAGGACGAGTACGGAGACATTATGTCGACAGGTACCATGGACACGCAAGCGTCCGACCAATCATGGTTTGTCACTCTCGACTAAGAAACCAACACACACGCACACGCAAACAAACAAGTTCCGCATACCATACCAACCACCACCAGAGCATTATGTTGCATCCTTCGGCTCACTAACCAAATCTGTTTGGATACTCTTTTATATTGGACGGAGTTGAGGCAACTGTTTGAAACATGTCAACACACGATTGAAACTACATTTGCTAAAGTACAAAATTGCTGGACGTTGATCAAAATTCCTCCACTTATTGGAGATGAGACGTCTAGCGGCCTTCGCAGCGTGAACAAACCTTCGTTTATATTCTCGATCTTTTTCAAGACACAAAGAAGAATATGACAGCATCTATTTGCTTGTTTGGATATTCTTTGTTCTGTCTGTTGAAAGTGAAGAGAGGAAACGAAGGTTGTGTGTCAATGCGCGTTTGTACTACTAGCTCATGCGGTGCTCAATGTCGTGGTGATTATTTTCATTGACAGGTACCATCAACAATTCCTCCTCTTAAAGAAGTATGACAGACTCATGGTGATCCGAATCGCACACAATGCTCTTTGTTCCTGTTTGAAGGAGTTATATAGATCGACCTTCAGAATACAGGACAGCAATTACATAGAGATTCAAAAAACAAGTATTTAAACAAAACCCCATTATAGACCAAAGTGAAAGTTGTTTGTATCATCATGTGCCATTCCATTAGGGCGGGTCTTCTTCCGTGCGGAGAAACGAAAGGTTTTGTAACTATGGATGTGGAGACAAGTGCTTTTTTAAATTGGCTGAGTATATGATGGCATTATTATTATTGTCTCTAGCTAGAAAGCCGCCGTTAACTCCGATTCTCCAAGAAACGTTTCAGCAAAGATCCATGCGCTTCCATATACGCCGTTTCGTGTCAGTATGATCGTCCCCATGTGCTCTTCTACGGATCTTGAGGGCTTCTGCACTCGCAGCAATGCCATCTTTCAGCAATCCCTGTTCCACTTGGACAGCCGAAATATTCTCATAGACTGCTGCTGTCCTGGGATGGACATCACCAAAGATTTTCTTGGAAACATCCAGCGCCTCTTGGAAGAGTTGCAGCGCCTTTTCTAGATCGCCTTTCGCTTTCACTGCCAGTGCATGCTCGTTCATTGCTTTCGCAGTTTTCTCGCACTTCAGTATGTGAAGGATATTCATAAGCTCCTTTGTGTGGGGGTGACCATTGCCAAGCACCGTTTTATGAATATTGATGGCTTTCGCGTAGGCATTGGTGGCATCTTCTGTCTTGTCCTCATTGACATGGGCTTGTGCAAGATTTTCATAGGCCTCTGCTGTTGAGGGGTGCATTTTCCCCCTAGAGTTTTCGTTTGTACCCTTAGCACTTTCGTAAACCACTCAGTGGCCTCTTCGAGGTTCCCTTGTTTTCCCAGCAGTGTTGCTTTCGTGCGAAGCGGTTCTTTTGAGTTTCTCCATGGCTCCACCCAAGTCCTTTTCTTGAAGCAGTGCAGTTGCCATGTAAAAGGTTGTCAAGGCCACAGAAATATGATCTTCACTTAACGCTTTGACTTGTATCTCCAACACTCTCTCCAAAATCTCCCTTGCCTTTTGATAGTTTCCTTGATCGTAATGGACATTAGATTTTTCGCAGAGTTCCTCAACCAATAAGTCGAGTTCATCGTCGCCCTTTATTATTTGTTTGTTTGTTTGTTTTCGTTTCGTTCATTCTAGAATACGCACTACTACGCTCCTCTATAGTATCATGTCTTCTTGCGCATCAGGATTATGCGGCATTCCTCCTTCTGATACGAAGAAATGAAAGAAGTTGTACCTATGAATGTGGAATGAGAACAATGCTTTGTCGATATTTTGTACTAGGTACAATTTTAAAAGTGCATCATCAATAACTGCGGTGTATACATGATGAATAATATATACAGTACCTGATAGTGATGCCGATATCATCAATCATCTCGCATGCGTTATGACGAATCGGAGGAGTCATGGTAGGACTAAAGTAGTCGTGAACGACGCGCGAAATTTCTTACTACTCATCGTCCCATCGATCATCATTGGTCAGGCACAATATAACACGACTTGTCCACCCTTGTAAATAGTGGTTCTTTGCCGGTTCCTTCCAGTATCTGAAGCATTGCGTAACAAAGGCCATAGAGGTGAAGAAACTCCGAGTAGAGAATCAGACTGAAGATCTTTTTATTAAAAACAAAAACATTCAGAGCGACCACCAAACAAGTTCACCTGGCTGTGAGATATCTTAAATCAACAAAGGGTTCGGTTGACTTTCAATACAAGGAGAGGGGCAATCACAATCCAACGACTTTAAAGCTTAAAGCCACAGCTATTGCTCTCTATCACAAACTACAGCTCCAATCCCGCAATCATGGTATCCATTCGAAAAGCCAAGAAAGGGTTTCAGCTACGAAAACGAGCTGGAGGAAGCAACAACACTGATTCTAATGCCGTTCAAGATTGCATGGATTCCGTCAAACAGAGACTCGAAGATCGAGAAAAGGCTGGAATGGTCATTATTGGCATGACCTTGATGACCATGTTTTTACTCCTGGCAATTCTGTTTCGATCCGATTCTCAATTGCAAAAGAGTCTGGACGAGAAGACCTTGTTTTCCAAACTCCGTCGGACCAAGGCGCATCCTCAATTACAAGATAACAAGGCCAAGAAACCCATGAAGGACACTATGAATGCAGTGGCATTGGATATTTATCAAGTCTTGGATTGTGAGAAATTCTTTAATGAAACCTTGGCAGAAATGAAGGGCGACGACGAGAAAGCCTTGAAAGGAAACGATCGAAGACTGCAAGAAGTAGAAGATGAACAACACGGAGATGACAACACCTTTGATGTTGGAGGAGAGCTTGCAAATGAAAACGAGGAGGAGGAGGATGCGGCAGATGATAAGTATGCTGGACAGGCCAACCGAGCTGGATTGGGAGATGGCCCTGGTGACAGTCCCATGGACGACGACTTTGGTGGCGGGATGGGTGGAGAAGTAGACTTTGATGCTGTGGCCATGAATGCAAGGCATTTATTTTGTTTGGCAGCTTCCCCAGATCCACCGGCCAAGATTGTAAAGGAAATCAAATGTGACGCTTCGGAAACCAAACGATCCACCTTATTGAAACTATGGTCGTCCGCGCGGGCCCAAGGAATGAATCCTGATACTCTCAAGGAAGTCTTGGAGGTGACCGAGGAGCGTATCGGAGAAATCATTCAGAGTCAATCTTACAATATTTGGTCGCCCAGAAACGACGATGGAACTCAATTTGTGATTAATCAACTGAATTCCGATCGAAATGTCGACAATGGTGGTATTTTGGGTCTCTCGGAATCTCTCGGAGAAGGCAAACTCTTTGTCGATGTGGGCAGTTGTTTGGGGCTCACGACCTTGGCTGTCACCAACAAGTATCCTGGTACACAAGTCGTCAGTATTGAGCCAGCGTCCCCCAATTGGTTGATTCAAGAAATGAATTTGCGGTGCAATTTGGACGATGATACCTTTCAGCACAAAATCAAGGTGGTATTGGCAGGAGTAGGGCCCAATGACAGTGACGAAGACAACATGATGGCCAAATTGCTATGGCGATCTTCCTCGACCACTTCGGCTCGGGCTTGGACTCCGGAAAATGAAACAGCGGACATTGCTGAAAGCAAGGACATTGAATTGGTGGTTCGATTACGTAAACTGAAATCTGTCTTGGCGGAAGCCGAAGTGTATGGACCACATACTATCGACGTGTTGAATGTGGACTGCAGTGGTTGCGAATACAATTTAATTCCAGCTTTGTCCGAAAAGGAATTTGAAGCCATTCCGACCATTATGGGTGGTGTCCACTGGGGCTACATTCCTACTTCCAAATTGCCTTCATCCGAACGTGCTAAACTGACCCATCAACGACTATGCTCACATGAGAATGTCGCCCATCGCACCAAGGAGTGCTGCGCTTTTCCAGACATGCCCGTCCAATCTAGTGTCCCAGGTGAAGTCTTGGTCAAGGATGAAAGTAAGAGTGGGAAGGATCGTCTCCAAAGCCAATCGACTGTCATGGATGTAGTCATCGATGGCTTATGTGATAATTTTGACAAATGGGCAGAAGAGCATCACTTGTATACGGTGCCTGACGATTGGGGATGGTTCGAACTGACTAGTCGAGCAGCAGTCTAAGCTAGATGAAATTCGATGATTTCCCTTGAGTTACAGCAGTACTTCTATCTAAATGCCTTTTCAGCAACAGCATATTATCATTCTTTTTCTGACACGTTTCATATAATACAGCTCTAGCCTTATCAATATATATATTCTAATACGAAAATGGTGATGCAACACATTCGCGAAGCCGGCATCCTTCAACTTGTGCCAAAAAGGCGATAGAAGGAGATGGTCGTCCTCGTCATGGTTATAGCACACCTATGCAACGTCAATAACTAACACCCAACATAAATAAATCCACTTACACCAAGAAGGGGACAAAGAGAGACATGAAATAGGCAAGGATGTTCATTGTCCTTGTCAAACCAGGAACCAAACGTGACAGCGATTCCAATAAATAGCAATTCACAGCATTTGCAACACAATCTTCATTAACCAGCTCTATGGATGAATCTTGGCATTGGCCTTTTTCAGCATGACTGTTCCTCCAAATGCCGAGAGCCAGAGCACAGTTGTTACAATGGACAGATAGAACCCCGCGTCGACCGAGCAAGTCTGTTGACACTCGACATTGATGGGATCACTATCCCCATCATTCAAAGCCGCAATGGCACCATTAAAACCAAGAATGGAAGAAGTCATTGCAGAATAGCGGTCATTCTCCTGTAGGGTGGTACATATTTGGTCTTCTTGACACATGTCTGTTTGCAAAAAGAGCATTGTCAAGGCACTAAAGAGTGCACTAATGAAATGGACCAAAAAAGAAATATTCCATAGCATAGATTGGCCCTTGGCAAATTCGCCGAGCAAGACGGGACCGCAACAGATGCACATGAGAATGCACCCCAGAGTGACAGGGACAGAGGAGGCTCCCAGCGCAAAACTGTTGAAGAAATCGTCCGCTGCCAGATCATTTATATCATCTTCGGCACTCAGGGCAGATGCCCCAGTCAATTCTTCCGTGCTTCGAACGATTCCAAGATGGTAGGCTCGGTATTCGCACAAAGACGGTAGTGTGGTTGCATTTGTGTTTCCAGTAGCCACCAATTGTTCCTGAAGGAAGTCGCCTCCGAGACATAGAGATATGTCCGCCTTCTGGTAACGAGGTGTAATGAGCAAGGCCACATTCAGGAGCCATGCTGCCCATGGCAAACCATATGACAGAAATCTTAGAAATGCAGTGGCTGGCTTGGGCGTTGCTTGGCTGGTTCTGATTTCGGTGATGGGAAAGGGTTTGTCCGAACGCGCTTGTTCCGAGACTGCTTCACCGTTACCAGTCGAAGATCCCATGACGACGTTGAAAGTTTGAGTTGTTCTGGGGTTGTGTGATGAAGAGGTAGGTCAACCTTGACACCTCCTGAATTCTGATCTGAGATAGGAAACTTTGAGAACGTTCGGAAGCAAACGAAGCTAGAAATTTAGGATAATATTTGTAGGAAGGTAGGAAGGTACCTATGCTTGACTGAATCACTGGAGGATAATCTATGCGAATGCCTCTCGTTAAACCTGGATGAATCCAACAGATTATTCTTTTTGAAACCCAGGAAAACCTTGTTTGTATGTGTTTCCTTTCTGTTGTAAAAGATGATTTTGTGTGTATCATGCACCACAGATAAATTTTCGAACAAAAGATGGCCAGACGAAGTAGAACAACTTGGTTCTAGTACTTTGGCTACGTAAGAGAACTCCATTGGTTTATTCTTCTCCCCAAGCAGCTTGTGAAAATATGCTTGAAAACTGATTGTTAGTCAAATTTTTCAACCTGCGTCAGAGTTTTATGTCACACAATCACAGGTACTTATTGTTTGTGACATGGTCCTCCTGTTTTCCGGTGTTACAATTAGGAAGGTCGTTTGGGTGAACGTGAAGTGGATTTTGAAAAATTCAAAAATCACTTTGTCACATGAAAAGCAATATAAAAGTCATGACGATGACGCCAACATACCGATACGCGCCATTACGTGAATCTTTCCCCTAGAGGAGGCACTTACTGCCATTTCCCAGAGACAACGAAAAGGGACGACGAAGCGGTCAAAAGATACATTTGAATGATCAGGAATGGATCCTTTGAAACAGATGATGATTGCTTGATATAGGATTATTTTAGTGAGCTGAAATCTCGCTACGACTTTCTGATGTCACGTGACATATTCAACATGAAGACTGGAATACTTGTTTTCATGGGAATTTCTGGTACCAGCCTCTTTTTCGCCATGGTGGCTTTGATCTTGTGTTCGTGCCGACACAAATAGGACATGATGTATTCACAATCGTCTTGACACCTAGCCCGGCTCTTGCGCAGGCATCTATCTACCAATCTACTGTTACGAACGCCGATTAGGTTGAAAATTGTTAAGGAGATCGGTTTCGTGGGCTTTTCATCAGCAGTGAAGTCTCCCATGCCCCACGATTTGGATTGTACTTCGAAAACAATCTTGAACGACGATGGTTCCATATTTCTTTGCTGTGGCTGCTGCATCATCCAGGAGACACGCAAAAAGGACACTATAGCATAGTCATTGCGAGACCAATGATGCTGCACATGTACGCTGTGGTACCAGCGAACATGAGCCACCCAGCAGTCCCGCCAAAGAATCTGACCGAATTCTGCCAGGTTATTCTCCAACGTTGGTTTCTCGCGGTCCAATAAGAGGCATCTAATCCGAACGATTCTGCCAGAACTTGCCCTGCCGTATCACCTTCCGTAATGTTGATCTCAATCAATGCATGACTCGGGTGCCGGCTGACGAATTCCTTGACATGATCAGTGTGGTTTAGAAAGATCTCTTTCAGGAAAGCCTTCATCTCTTCTGCATTTTTTGGCAACTCATTGATCCGTCCCTGTGAATAGTACTCGTTCGCAAACTGGTGTTGCAAATCACTCCAATTCATGACGCTTTCCACCCAATCCGAAACAAGACGAGTATTCAGAATCCAAGTACTATTTGGGGCCGAATCGTGCAACTCTGGAAGATTAAAGTGCTGAGGAAGAAAGATGCGCGGACCTGTGATGCCCGTATCCACGCTGCCGTCTTCCAATCGACATCCTTTGTCACCATCGCAACGAGGACCATTGATTTCTGCATAAACATCAAAGTGTCCACACTCTTGAAGCATCGTCTGATTCTTTTCTTCACCATCAGAGGCAACGGATCCCATGTATCGAAGAAGGCAATCAGCCATGAGAAAGGGGCCTCCTCTCTGCGGGTCGTTTTGCGATTTGCAACAATACCAATGTTGAGAACGGAACTTCTGCTGCTGAAAGAAACTAAAAATGGAAGAGGTGCCTGCTTTTGGAAAACCTATAGGACGCAAATGGGAGGTTCATGAATATCAGTACCGACAGTACTGTTGCTAGTTGACGTTACAGCTAATGCCATAATAAACTTACCGACTGCCAACACAGGCAAGGGCAAATTGATTTCAGGGTGTTGGTGTTTCTTCTTCTTTGTCACCTTTGCCCTTTTCATTTTGTATTCATGCTTTCGATGACGTTCTTTGCCCTTCGGACTATTTTTCATGGACGATTCAACAGACACATCTGAACCATGCATATGGGATATCGGTGGTCTCATTACGTCAATCTCATCTTCATGGTGATGGCCGTTCAATTGTCTGCTAGTCGGAATGCTGTTATTGTTCAATGATTGCTCCTCTTGGCGTCTGAAAATGGTCATCCAGCTATAGCTGATACCAAATATCCAAAGGAAAAGAAATAGTATGGAAAGGAATTGAATTTTCCTTCGAAGAGAGCTCATAATATACAGTATGGTATGCTTTTACTTGTTTCGTCATTGTTGTTTGTGTGATAATGTCGATAAACCACCTTCAAATTCGGGACTATAAAAGTACATAGACGTAACATTCTTAAAATCATACGATATTATATGCCGCGTTCGGTATCATCGAGACTCCTCACTAACAACGATTGCAGTTCTTGTGACTCTACTTGCAGTGTGTTTTGAATTATTTTGCGTTATTTTGTTTTTGGAGATTAACTTCCTGGAGACCCCAATATTGTTTGGAACGCCTCTCTGTCTTGAATGAAGGAACCCTTATGTTTCTTGAATTTTTTGCCCGCACATTCCATATCACTAACCGGAAACCCACCATAATACCCACAGAATCTTTCTATCAGAACGTCCATGTATTGCCTGTTCGCGATCCCACAAAAAGACTGGTCCGCATCGCATTTCTCAACGTATTCAATCGCCTTCGATGCTCCTTCCCGGCTGACTCCATAGGAATGAACGCACCTTCCACAATACAGGGGAGTACCAGGTTTCGTACCTGGATGCTCTTTGCCGACATGTTCTTTGGAACCGCAAACACCAAGAAACATACCAAGGGCATGTTTCGACTCCATGCAAGTGTCTTGATTGTTCTTGTGACATATTAAATTCCGCTGTACTGAGAATTGGCTCTCTTCAGGTTCCTCCTTTGACCTACAGAGAGCAATATCGTCCTCAAATACATACCCCCAGGGTTGCGTGCCTGCGGCAATGATTCTATAAACCTCCATTTGTGCAAGTTTATTGGAATTCGTCTTGTCAATTCGTTCGGTCCCCAGAAAGGGAGCCATTGCGTGATGAACAGTGAAGCCGACACCTTTGAGAATAGCAGTGGATCGTATGGTTCGAGGTGACGTAAGATTCACGGTTAATAAATATGCCGTTCGCGTCATGTCAATGTTTTCTGCATTGCTGGAACGTGTAGCGCGTTGTGTTTGTTCGTTGGTGGTGGTTGTAGTAGTAGTAGTAGTAGTAGAAGCATTACCTGATGGTGGTACCTTAGCAGGATGTGCCCTCGCTGCTGGTCTCAATGGTGCCTTCTGAGATAGTCCAGCGGAGTTCATCTTGATCATGAGCACTACAAATAGCACAAGGTATACCGTGAATTTCTTTGCAGCTCCCATGATACCGGTATGAAGGTGCTGTTATCGTCATCGTGTGTCGTCGTTGCGGTGATTTCCCAAAACGCGACAAAGATGACCCATCACAAATTTGTCGGACAAAAAACGTTCGTGAAATACAAACGCCTGTTCCGGTAGTCTCACAATCTGAAGCAGATCGGATACGAGTACCAACCAACCAATCAACCCACCTTCTACTGCATTCTATTGTATTGATCGATAGTATCGTAAAACTATGTAATTCTATTTATGTCTTTTTTTTAAATCCCCAATAAATAATCTGTACACATCCTTCAAAAATGAAACGAGCAATCCAAAACGCCATTTTCATCAAACATGGTGGAGTACACAGAGCGAGCCTCGTATTCGTCCCAAGGCCATTCATCTCTGCCGTCCACCTTGTAGTAGTAACATTCCCCTACATATGAAATGTTGGCACCGCTAGAAACCAGCGAGATAACAGGCTCGGATACTGCTTCCCGGGGCAAAGCAAACCACGCTTGCCACACAGAGAGAGCACACAAGACTGCTACCAGTAGCAGCGCCCACACATTCCATCGACGAAGAGCCACCACAGTTGCTGTTGTTGTTGCCGTTGAAGATTTAGCAACCACAACCGGGGCTTTTGTCTTTTTCTTGTTATTTGCCACCTTGACATTCTTTTTGTAGTTCAAAATCTTTTTGGTGCGAGGAGGGCTTCCACAAGGAACTGGACTGACAATGCTGTCCACGGAGGAATCCTCTTCATCGCTTGGATATTCAACTTCTTGAGGCATCATGTTTACAAAGTTTGCCGCACTCGCTTGTCGGGCAACTGAAGAAGGTCGCACCAGAGTCAAGCTGGGGGGCAAAGGAGTTTTGTGAGAGGGCAAACAAGTAGTTGTTTCAGGAGGAATGGAGAAAAAGGTATCATCAGCAGATGCCAACGCAACTTCCGTGTCATCACGAAGAGCGGCATCTAAAGACTCAACCCTCGGAGGAGGAGAAGGAGAGCTTGTAGTCGAAGCAGTATCAGCAACACTGCTCTGACTCGATTTGTGATTCTTGAATTTCGTGAGAAGGCGCTTAAGGCGCTTCCATTTTTTCTTGGGAATGTTTTCTTGCACCACTTCATTTTGAGTTGTTTTGTTCTTGTTGAGGCGGAAAGAAGATGATGATGATGATGATTCTTGCGGTTGGAGTCGTTCTGAAGATTCTTCCGGAACGGTAGGAAGACTATTGATGTTGACATTGTCATCCTCCAACCGTCCCGCGAAGAGAGATCCACTGGATTCCAACGGTTCATAGTTCCAGCTGCTTGTTGAATTCCATTTTCGGATGAGATTCTTGGAAGGTTCACTAGCAGCAGCAGCAGCAGACTTTAGAGAAGCCATCTTGGCCTTTCCCTTTATCTTCTTGTTCGTTCTTGATGTGAATTTCTTCTTGAGCTTGGAGGGCAAAGAGAAGCCGAATGATCGACCCTTCTGCTTTTTCTTCTGAACATCTCCCACAATCGTATCGCCTAACGACGACACTGTAATAGAAGAAGATTCCGAAGGATAGGCAAGAATAGCCGTATTGGGCTTGAAGTCCACCTCATAGGTGACTCCGCCAATGTTCGCTGCCATCTTGAGAGTTGAGAGAACACGCACCGATCACCACCCAATCCAAAGTATTCTTACTTGGAGGTGGAGTCAGGCGTGTTCTCGATTAAAGTGGGTCCTTTATCGAGTTTCTAGCTAGATTAGGGTTACCACTGACTTACCACATTCCACTCACACAAACACACCCGATCAAAAGCTCTGGTGTTGCTTGAGAGAGAAAGTGTTGGTTTTGTTGTTGGAGGGAGATGGGATTTTGTGTGATGCGTGTGTGAACGGTTCTCGGATTTCCCAATTTTGCATGACTGTGTAGCTTCTCGTAGCAATCCTACGCACTTCATCCCTCCCGCCAGATCCCTCCAACCAGAAAGGATTCTCATGCCTGACAAGTCACGCCCAACGAGATTCAGTGTCTAGAATATTAAATTGGAGAGGAATGACAAGGTGCAGAACGGTTTCTCTATTACGTGTTGGATGGCGCCAAATCACCCTTTCGACTAATGACGGCTTGAATTGCACGCATGGTTTCGATTGAGAACACCCCACTACTACTAGAAGGGTTGTTTTGGGTCATCCTGACGCAGGAGGGATTCATTTTCCCGCCTTTGTGAAGTAGAGAGTTCCTCGAGCTCCGCTCTGCCCTTTGGGAGCTCTGCGGTACAAGAAATCTGCTTTTATATTTACCCCGTACCAGGTACCAGGTACCGGTACGAAAAGCAGTTTATTATCTTACTGTAGCTTTATGTATTAATAATTTTAAGATAGCTGTAGCATGTGGCAAAGTAGCCATTCTAGTTTTCAATGGTTCATTCCGTTCGTACACAGAACATCAGAATAGTGACAAGAAGAAGAAGGTCGGGGCGTCAATGTTGAGTGGTGAGGATCATGATGTCATTAGTAAACATCATGATACAACCTAATATGGCTGACTCCAAGCTGGAACGTCACACAACCATGTCAAGAACGTGCACGCCAAGGTAGGGGCTCCAAGCAAGTGGATTTCAACACTTCTTCTTGGAACACACGCAACCTTGGCTAGTCCTCGTGCTGATGTCAGCAGATGGGGAAGCATCTGTACGTTCTTGGTGGGCCTTTTGACGAAGAGGATAAAGGCCCAGTCTCGTCATATGAAAGTCGAATTCATTGTACTAGAAACTTTCCATGGTGGCCATCTCGTTGCTGGTCTTGTCTTTGCCATCATGATCATGATCGCTCATTACACAAAGTTTCGAAAGAAGAGCAAGACCGCACTGAGGGCAACCGTCGTACTAGCGACTGGGTGCGATCGAATGCCACGCTTAATGGTCTTTTTCAGCGAGTAAGAACGGCGATGAGGTTTTCGCAAATCACCAATCGGGGACGAAGGAGCTTGATCCGTCATTTGCAATCGAGTGGGGGTCAATGCCACTGTTTTTCGATTGGTTCGGTAGTTGAATTGCTTCTTGCCAGCGCTCCCGTTTTTCTTGTTGTTGTTAGAAGACGGTGTGCGGCCGACAGGGGACTGAGGAGGGACCAAACGCCATGTCACGGGAGACTTGATTGGCGATACCTCCTGCTCTGGAATTGTCCTCTTTCGAATGACAATGGTCTTGAGCGGAGTTGTTGGGACTTGAGCTTCGATGGCCGAAGCAGTACTAGCGGTTGCTGCCGCGATCAACAATTCCTTTTTCACCACTGTGGAGGAAGTGGGGGACATGGAATCATCGCGCGATCCATGTGGGCAGACCATGCCACCAGTGCTATTGCTGCAGGATATCTTGAGGTCGGCAAACTCTGTCGAGTTCGTTCTGGCGCAAGCACTACGTGCACGCTGACGACTTTCGCCATCTTGCAGAATCATGTTCATTAGTTCTTCGACATTGCATGATAACGTCTCATCAGCATTGAAAACATCCAATTGTTCCTGCATGTGCATGCCGTTGAATGTTTCAGAAATTGACTTTTCACAATCCTCCTTACAAGCCTCTTTGTCGTTGTTGTTGTTGTTATTGAGCGACTCATCGGTGGGTTCACCGAGGTCAAGCGCAAGACACTTCTTTTCGTTAGCATCATCGTCAGGGGTATCTTTCATTCCCCATTTGATTGGGATTCGTTGGTCATAGTAAAGGGTGGTGGTCTCAGCCATATTCGGAGTAAATGCTTCCTCTTGGCTGTCACCACAACTGGCGTCACTAGTTTCGCCCGTACTGTTCGCTGGAACCTCATCGTTGTGCTGACTATTCATGTTTGCAGCGAATTCATGATGCTCATTGAATTCATCTACACCGCGAGGACGAATGCTGTCCGCTGCACATTTCATTGATGAAACTTCCCTGTTATTCTTTTTGGACACGCTAGGAAATGCCCCTTCCGCGGAACCCTTTCGTCCAATTTTGCTCATTCGCATCAGCGGGCTATTCTTGGAAATTCGTTTCATGATTTTCTTCTTGAGCTTTTTCGTGCTTCTCTTCCTTCTGGAACCTGCTGTGTTTGTGCTCCTGCTTGGAGCAACCTCCAAGTTTGATGGAGCTTCCGAGGTTCGCTTCGGAACTACCTTGGATGCAAGCTTGGATATTCTCTTGGTCAACTTCTTTTTTCGTTGCCTCTTCTTACAAGATGAGAAGGGAGCAGCTTCCTGCTTCTTTTCGAGCGATACGCCTTCCTCACTCAACTTCTTGGTGAAGCGTGACATGGGATTCTTTACGGTGCTCATGGGATTCTTCATCGCGCTTATCCGAGGAGCCATTGCAGAAAGAGCACTCGTGCCAACCGACATTCGCGGAAAGAAGTGTTGGTTCATTTCTCCTTCAGAACCAGATCCTCCTATGATTAGCGCACTTTCGTTGTCGGGGCTGGCCTCAAAGGAGACTTCCAAAAAGTTCCCATCCTCATCAAAGGAAGAAACCCAGCCATCTCTCAGAATGTCAAAGGCTGGAGATCCAGATGCCGAACCTTCTTCAAAAGAAGCTGAGATCCTTCTTGATCGAACGACATCGTCGCAATTGAGAGGAGTTGCGATTCCAGCAGGGAAAGTCATTATTTTTCCTCGTTGGATAAAGTCCTCCGATATATTCAGAAAATCCAACTTGCAGTTGCAATGAACGAAGCTGACCAAACCGAATATGGCACTTTCGAGATATTGATTAGCTTTTGGCCATACAAGATGCCTCACTCTTCCTCAGAGGGAAGCGGCGTGGAGGTAAGGACAGCAATCCTTTCAATTGTTGGAATGGAAGACGCGTCGCCAAGTTTTGAAGTTTTGTGGTGATTTCATGATCAATCCTTTTGGAATTCGGTCACGCGCGCAACGGACGCGTTAAATACGTGTAGAATTCTACGAGAAACTTCTTTCGTTGTGATATAGCCAAACTCGCAACGACCAACGGAAAACCAAGATACATCTGAAACGGTATTTTGTCACGAATGAATGGAACAACTGACCTTCAACCTTTTATCGTGCCTTACTGTACTTTAGAGGAAACGGATGGTATTTGTATGCACAATTTCGGAACTTGCGAAGCGCTAATTTGCCCAGAAGATGAGCCAAAGTGAGATCCTACTGACATCTGCTGCAGCAAATCAATGATGATGAACAACAACAAGATAAACGGATTTTGAGCGAAAAGTGGAATCTTTCATCACCTTGAAGCCTGAGGATTGGTCGAAAGTTCAGCTGTCTTTTGGTTGAACCTTTTGGTTGAATCATGCGCTCGGAATGAAGGCCATGTGATGTGACCACAAATGAGATCCCAGCAAGCTGTCGCCTCATTTTCTCCTAATCTCAGCGATTATTCAACTTCCACACCAAGAGTATTTACCTGAAGAAATCTGCGTTCAGAAGTAATGGAGAACATCGTCAACGATCCGTTATGAAATGGAATCATTGGCCAACAAGTATGGGGAGTCACTGGAGCTGCCAAAAGCCTGTCTAATGTTCAACTTGCCGGCCTCTATTCAGGCTGAATGGCATGCACCAGCATCACATGGCCGGCAACAGTCGTTCGGGACGGCGGGAAGGTGGCATCCAACTACATTCTGGATATGCGAGGGCTTGAAGGATATTGGATGGGTATCAAGGAGACGAATACGAAAGGAGCCCTTGTTCTTGAAAAAAGATTAACAACGACATCGTTGTGATTCAGAATTGACCAAGCGTATGTGATCGCGAGTAGGATGCACTTCCTAAAGCATACGGAGGATGATCAGCGTTTGGAGCACACTGCCTCGGAAGCTGAAAAGACGGTCCCTCAAGGTTTCCAGAGTTTACTAGTTGCTGTTGTATGATGGTATGACCTGGTGTGGTGGTATGAATACTGGTGTAAAAGGGTTTTAGGCCAGCATTTCTTCAGGAGGCCACTCGGATGGTTTTCCTGTAGCACGGTACAGCACGCGTTTCCATGACAAAATGAACGTGCAGTAGTTGAACTTGTTTTTTTTCTTCTTTAGTACCAGTACTTCGTTAGTTTCACACTATTGTTAAGTTCGAAAAGTGTGAACAGAAACTGAAAACGGCCCCGGCCCGCTGCCGAGTCGTCACAGCACATACCTTCGGTCGCTCCGCCAAATAGTTTTACGTGCAAGGTCATAGCACCGAATTTTTGCCGATGGCGGCAACGGTGCGGTGCTGTGACCTTGTTTAGCGTGAATGTTTAGCGTGGATTTGGACCTATCAAAGTACTTTCACGCTAAACATGAATTGGACGATCGAAGTGCAGACGACGATATTCAAATAGCCAAACCTCACCACAATGACAATTCAACTCTACACTGGCTTAGAATTAGATCGAATTTTGTAGTCGAATGTTAATATATTGTATTCTACCTTGTTGTGGATGTCATGGGAGGAGGTTGTTGCCTAGATACAACTGGAAACCTGGTCATTCTTATTCCTGGTCACGGTGCAACAAGCAACAATGCACACCAAACATTCAGCCATGATCTGTAGGTTTTCGTCATATTTGATTTGCCAGGCGGGTTGTCACATTCCACAGTACTCTTCCATGTATCATCTTTGAGCGCCATTTTGAGGAAGCATGCTGGCTTGTAGGTATCAATCATTGGAGAATTGTCGCCAAGCAATTGCTGCTGCTACCACTGAAACCTTGTATTGCATCAGCTACAGTCGCAAGTTCCTTCATATGTTGTGCATTCTTGGTATCTCACATAATTCGCCTGAAAGCTCCCCAGTTCTGATTTCTTTCACTCTGCTCAGTTGATGACAGGCAGTGCCCATGCTGATTTGCAAGCCAAATAGAAGATTCACAAAACA